ACATTTTTATTTTCTACTTGATTGATGGACTTAATTACGAAATACGAATAGCCCAATAAAGCGCATTAAACGCCCATATTTAAGAACTTTAATTTTACTCTTAAATAGGTAACAGGAGCAATCCTCTTTTTGCCAACAAGGCATTATAGGGCCAATCCCTATAACTACTTGTTAAGATAGTTGGGTCTATATTGAAAAGAGACGTAGATAAGATAATAACGTAATTGTAAAAAAGTACCCTCTCTAAGTCTTCCGACCTCCAAGCAGTCGGATTACAGGATGCTTAGCACTCCTAGTTATAAAATCACAGCCGATTAAGTAATTTGAGGTCAAAGTTGAATTTATAAAGTACATGATATATCTGTCAGTGTAGTATATTAATCCCAGCTTAAGCTCGGTTCAGTAGTGGAAATAATCTTAAAATCTGACAGAAAACTTCCAAAACACGTCATGATGACGTGATCATACACACCAGATGTGTGTCAAATAAATCATTCACACCACATCAACAGCTATTAACAGTCCACTGCTGGACACAAGCCTCTCCTTAGAAAGGAGGTTTTGGCGTACTATACCACGCTGGCCAGACGGGTTGGTTTAGGGTTTGAAGTTTTCCTTCTCTCTGCAGTGCTGTTGTTCTGCGTAGTTTTTTCCTTTAGTCGGCTCTTACGATACCAACGGGATGAATAGGGGTGGTGACACTATGTATTCTTAATCCGTCACCACACGGACAAATAGTTGCATTTTATTAATGTAACAAATTATCTTATCTAAAGTTAGAGAGGTATTACAGAATCTTACTGCTACAATAACATTCCTTTCTTAGATTCCACAATTAATGTTTACTCAATAAAATTCAAGTCTCGAGGTCAGACATATTAATTACTACAAACCATAAACATTGTTATGAAGTTTTGCTGTTCTTATATTTATAATTGTTTCCTCGACGTTAATAAAATTAGTTTTATTTACTAGACACTCAGAGAGTAAAATTATAATATTTTCTTGAAACATCTCACACACGGCCGTCTGATCCCAAACTAGGCAGATCCTGTACAATTGTGACCAGACTGCTGATAAACATACTTACGAGTATATGTTTCTAAATACATTTTATTCGCTGTGGCATATATTGTTGTTGTATTGATGAGAAATGGAGAACAAAACTGACTTGAAAAAAAAGATACTACTGTATTTCAAGGTATGTAAAAAGCGGTCAATCCTGAAGATTCTGATCAGGTTAATCGGACAAATTCATCAAATTATTGTATTGTCATCGGTCCTTGATAAGTGTATAAACTTTTAATTTAATTCGATCGACGTTTGGAAGTCAAAACTACGTTCGAAGATCCCGTTGCATACATAAAAGTGTGTAAATAGATAAAAACAATTTTCGCAGCGGGTTGTATATCGTAACCAAATATGAAGCTCTGTCCTTCTCGAGCTGTTATGCATATATCTATCCGTATAAACATTATAATTTACCTACCATTCCCTTTCCGTCTTACATCCTTTTCTAAACTTTTTTTACTAAAATACTCCGAATTTTTGTAAGCCCCAATTTGTAAGTAAGTCTCAATTACAATAGGCAGAATGTTAAAGTTCAATATGGCCTTTTTACCCCTTAATTGAGTGTATGAATGTTACTGTTACTGTTAAATGTAAATCCTGTAATTATGGTGAGAAATAAACTTATACTTATACTTATACTTATACTTGAGTAAATTTGTTCGAAAACACCCGGAATACTATAGTAAAAGAGAAGACAAAAAAATCAAATTCACACTAAGACATAGAAATAGACTTAACCTCCCAACTTCCCAACTAACTATGCATTCTACAAGCCCCTTAGTTATGTCTATAAAAATTTATAATAAACTACCAGAAAAGATTAAGAACGAAGAAAAAAATAACATTTTCATTAATAAGTTAAAACTATTCCTCTTGCGAAAAAGCTATTACAGTGTAAAAGAATAAATGGATGAAATAAACAATTCGTGACAATGCATTTAACAACATTATAAAACATTATACCACCTACTTGTTTCAGAAAAAAAAACATCACGAGACCATAGTCAAGCCTGACCAAAACCAATTGCTACAATTAACAAAATAAATCACAATAATACTAATAACCTTTATAACAAATAGTACAAACTTAGTGCACATCACATCACATCAACAGCCTATACTAGTCCACTGCTGGACATAGGCCTCTCCTTAGAAAGGAGGTTTTGGCCTACTATACCACGCTGGCCAGACGGGTTGGTATAGGGTTTGTTTCAAGTTTTCCTTCTCTTTGCAGTGCTGTTGTCCTGCTTAGTTTGCTCCCTTAGTCGGCTCTTACGACACCCACGGGATGAATTGGGGTGGTGACAATTTGTATTTTTAATCCGTCACCACACGGTGCAATACTTAGTGCAATAAATAATTATTAAAAATTTAAATAAAAATAAAATAATGGCTATACAGAGTAAATATATATAAATAATATATTATAAATAAATATAGTAATAATCATTCTCCTCTCTCTCTATCTCTTCTATGCTGTGCCCGACAGGGTCCATAATTGATACCTAGCTTAAGTTTTTACCAACTGTAAAATTTACATTATGGTAGCAATAAAGTATTGAGTATTGAGTACTTTTATTTCTTAAAATATAGTAATACAATGTTTGGTTACCATTGAGAATCGAAATGACGATGTAGGTGTCGTTCTTCCGACAATATAAAACATTATTATATGACAACATACGAGGTTTATTTTTAATAAATAATTACAACATGTCGGTTTTCTTACGTCAATCAGCATCAAACCTTGGCAATGACGACAGCGCAGTGGCCCTAGAACCAGCGATTAAACCACATGCTTAACACAAAACACAAGATACGGGAATGAATAAGAGATGCGGCTGTTGAGATATATGTGTGCTTGGAGAGAGCCTAAAACTAAAAGTAGGCGCTGCTAGTCTATATATATAAAAGGTTAAGTTGGTTTGTGTACTCTTCAAAAAGTTCTGCACCGAGCTCTTCTAAGATTCTTTTTATTTATTTTTCGCGTCTGTTTTATCCCTGATTTCTCATCAATGCCATCATAATGTGCCACAGCGAAGCGTGGCCCCCGGCCAGATAGTATTTAATAGTGTTACTCTATACCCAGAACAGTCCGTCGTCGAGGTGTGCGGCAATACCAACTTTTTCACACAACATCATGCAGAACTAACTCCGGTGTCCGCATACCTCTTCGACGACTGGTAGTGACGTACAACAAATATTTCTCTGACATTGACATCTTTGCTCTGTCCAATAAACAATTTAAATGTTGCGCTTTTAAATTATTAACCGCCTTGCCAACTGAATAGCGAATATATTGTATCATATGTATTTCTTAGATCTGAACTTAAGTGTCGTGAACTGAACTGAACTGAACTGAACTTAACATCGTGATTGTACATTTACATATAAGCCCTAGTGGCTGCGCTCATTCGCATTTACAGTAGTGTTCTGTTTCATTCAAATTTCCTTTTATTAACCCGTGAACAATGGTGTGGGTTATGTGTTTATACCTCTGTAATATATTTATATATAGTTTTAAGACTTTAACATGTACCTATTTTTTGTTCCTAATAAACCAAATAAAAAAAAAAGTATTTAACAATTTCTGAGATTCACGCTCAACAAAATAATAGGTAAATATTTTTTCATTCTGACATGCACTACCTTAACAAAATAACCACGCCGTTTTACTGGCCCCGGTAATGAGATCACGTCATAATATGAATATGAACGCACAAATTATTTAGTTTAAGTTCATCCGTATCAACCTGGTTCCAATAATGTACTGTAAACCTTGCTCTATATTTAGCACGGTGATGTCCAACGGTGGTGGAAACTATTTATACTCTGTTCGAAGGTAATCTGTCAAAGACACGCCTATTTACGCTGGAATATTTAAATCTAATCTGACATTTAAGTTTTTTATTGAATTACAACGCACGCACTAGGAATATGCAGTCAAATCTAAATATCACATTAGATGTTTACAATTTAAGATGTGTCAGAAAGCGTGTTCAAGAGCTCACTGAACACATAGGTTTTGAAATATTATATTATTTCACCACAGCAGATTTCTGTGGTAAATTGGAGCCGCCCTCCTAGTAGAATTTCTTTAACCCCTGTTTTAACAACCATATTGTTGTATTTATAATAATAAGAAAGATGAGAATACCTCGTCGCTATTTTATCTAAGTATTTTTATTTACTCTGGTCGTAGCGTTCATCCTCACATCATACAAACCTTATTTTTATGATCTGAGTTTTGATCTTTATTCATCAAAATCAGTCGGGCTTGATTGTATCTGCCACAGATTCGTAAACTTTAAAATAACTTCGATACTACGGTTTTCTAAACTAAGTACGGAACACGGGACTACAGAATAGTGTGTATTATTATTTTTTTATGTTAGAGGGGGCAGACGAGCAGACGGGTCACCTGATGGAAAGTGACCATCCCAAAAACGTCTGCAACTCAGGAGTCACAAGCGCGTTGCCAGCCTTTGAGGAAGGAGTACGCTCTTTTCTTGAAGGTTTGAAGGTCGTATCGGTCCGGCAATACCTTAAACGATAACCCGTTATACAGATTGGTTGTGCGGGGCAAAAAGTGTCTTGTGTGTATACAGATATAATAATAATAATAATAACCTCACACATCTCACACACGGCTGTCTGATCCCAAACTATTCAGAGCCTGTACTATTGTAACCAGACTGCTGATAAACATACTTATATATTTCTAAATACACACATATTATAGATAAATTACACCCAGACACAAAACAAACAATCGTGCTCATCACACAAATATTTCGGGCAGGAATCGAACCCACGACCTTCGGTTTAGCAGTTAGGGTTACTAACCACTAGACCAACTGGCCCGTCTTGCCATGCAAACATATTTTTGCCACCTGTTGTTTTTATTAAAGTCAAATATCCCTTTCCAGTCCGATGAATGCACGACTAAGTTCGTGTATCACCTGAAGAAGATCGAACATGACGCTCGCCGTGCTGCGACCTACAGCGGGGACAGTCACCACAAGTTCCTTCTGGGACACATGATCGTGTTCCGCATGCATATCAACAAGGTAACCTTCTATCAGACCAGTGGGAGAGCCTTGCTTCCTCACGAATGGGCCGGCTCGACCGAAACAGAAAAACCGGTGTTAAGCAATTCTTTCGTTGCCTTTCACTGAGTGAGTGAGGTTACCGGAGCCCAAATCCCTGACTGACTTAAGCGGGAGGGACTGAAAGGGCGGCAACACACTTGTGACTTTTGAGTTGCAGGTGTCCATGGGCGGCGGTAGTTGCTTACCATCAGGTAACCCGTCTGCTCGTTTGCACCCTTATGGTATAAAAAAAACCTCACGTTACAAATATATTTTGTAGATACGAATAAAATCACAAGTCATCCTTGTAGTGTCGGATTAAGAATACAGAGTGGCACCACCCCTATTCATCTGTCGTAAACGCCGACTAAGGGAGCAAACTACGCAGGACAACAGCACATCAAGAAGAAGAAAAACTTGAAACAAAACTCTTACCAACACGTCTGGCCAGGCGTGTATTGTAGGCCAAAACTTCCTTTCTCAGGAGAGGCGTATGTCCAGCAGTGGACTATTAAATGATGTTGATGGGAGACAATTGAGACATCCTCCGTATTATCCAGCCTCTTAACATCTTGTCCATTAAGTTGTCAAGCAAGACCTTAGAGCAACAAGGCCTTTAGTAGGCGTTCTAAGGGGAGGCCTATCTTCAGTAGTGGACTATTACACGGCACATAGGCGATGTAATTTGGAATGGTTATTTAATGGGCTGTTAGGTAAAATATCTTGTAACATTAGTGCCATGTTGATCTAGCGATTGATAACCCTGAATGATTATAAATGGTCATGGGTTCGATTCCCATTCAGGACAAATAATTGTCAGATGATCATGATCATTTGTTATGAGACATTATTAAAATATATATGTATATAGACGACCGGATTCTGTAGTGGTTTGGGTAGCGGACTGCTATTCCAAAGGTCGCGGGTTCAATTCCCGCTTAAATTAAAAATTTGTGTGCATGAACATTTAATGTTTGATTTGGTCTGGGTGTTTCTATGTATAATATGTATGTATTTACAAAAAAAAGTATACAGTTGCCTAGTACCCATAGTACAAGCTTTGTTTAGTTTGAGACTAGATGGCGTTGTGTGAATGGGGTAGAATATTATTATTCAGTAATATGTAAGTATGTGTATTAGCAGTCTGGTTGCTATAGTACAGGCTCTGCCTTGGGATCAGACGGCCGTGTATGTGAAATGTGTCTAGTCATTATAATTATTTATCAAATTTATGAACATTTTTTTAAAACATAGTTGTAGGACATATTAAGTTAAGTTTAAATAGTACTTTGTATAATATAATATTATGTATTGTTCTACTTTCAGAGTAAAGATTATTTGGAGAAATACGAAAAGGTGTACCGTGACTGTGGACTGCTGTGCGAGGTACGTACCTAACATTATTCAATGATTTCACGAAATCAATTCCACAGATTGCAGGAAAGCGAAAGAAGGTGGGCTCACATTTTGCATACCTACTGAAATTACTGCTAAATTCTGAAGTTTTTTTTTCCCCCTAGGTATATTTACGTTTTGAACTATTCTTTTTCTTTTCACCGAAATGTTACTACGTTGGTAAAAATGTTACGGTGCATTTAAAAATTTTAGTTAATAATTAAAACAAAAAAAATTGGCGGTCTTGTATATTTTTAAACGTGGAAACTATTGGATTATGTGTGATAAATCTGTGTCCATTAATTTATTTATTTTAATTGTTCTGTTTGAATCCCTAATAAAAAAAAAATGCAGGCAATAAATGTATGTCTAACTGATCATATTGAATGTAATGACGCTTTTTGCTATGTGGTGGTTCATGTGGAGGAACGGGTATCATGTTCCTCCAACACAAAGGGAGGATCGGTCGACCAGGCGAGACGATCAAGCCTGGTTGACCGCGACCCAACTGTTGATGTTGGGAAGTTGTATATTTGCTAATCGTGATGCGTGAGAATTCTTCATATCGCGATACAGGATTAGCTTAGTTCCTTCGTAGTTCGGTGTGTCTCCGTTAGATGGCGTTGTAGTTGGTTTCTTTGTTTTATATGGAAGTCGCCACAGTTCATACCGTGGCAAAGCCATGCTTCGGTGCAACTTACCATCAGGTGACGCGACTGTTCGTTTGCCTCCTTAAACTATAAAAAGTACCAACATGTTCACATTTGTATTTTAATACATACTAGCTGGTACCCGCTACTTCGTTCGCGTGGAATTTGAAAAGCGCTGCCATAGTGGGTTCGACTCCCGAACCGGGCAAAATTTCATAGAGTTTTTTCTGAGAGGAAAGATAGCCTATGTGACTCCTTATATAGCTGCATGGTAGTAAAATTTTATCAAAATCGATCCAGCCGTTTAGAAGATTACCCGGAACAAACAGACAGACAGACACAAAAAAAAACTGGTTTTTAGTTATACGTATCGTGCAAATAACAAATATCGTGCAATTATTTTGATATTACAAACAGACAATTTTATTTATCTGTGTAGAAGAGAACATGCATGCTTTTAAAACAGTCCCTACTTATAAGACCTTAAAACCGTTTTCAGACAACATCCCGAATGAAACGCTGGCACCGTCTCGCAATCGAAGAAATCCACCGAGTAAAGGATGATATTCAACATTCGAAGAGGTCGTACCGCGACCTGGTGTCGCACGCCAGGAGAAAACTCAACCACCTGAAGAAGCAGGCTCTCTCCAGGGCTAGAGATGCTATCGACGAGTACAACCACTGTATAAGATATTAGAAAACTAAGTAATACAATCTTGGGTTAAAAAGTTGATTGTTATTATAATAGATTAAAAAAAACTTGAAAAAAAAATGTAAAACGATAAACATTTTGTTAAATTGTGATATATTAATAAGAATTTTAGTTTATTCGACGTTACAACCGAAATGCACCAATCATGGTCATGGGTGAATTTTTGGGCACTGGGCATAAAAAGCACGATTTAGTCCCTGAGCACGATTTGAGATGTAAAATATGTTTAAAAAAAAACTACAAAATTTATTTACAATTATAAAAATATTCCAGATTGCCAATAACTTTCAACTTTGTTGATCCAAGATACCTATTTAATAATTATATGTGTCATATTAGATAAATAAAAATAGAAAAAAATAATTAATGAATGGTTAATTTTCAATAACGACGAGTGAAAATTAATGAGATTTATATTTATTAGTTATAGTTAGCAAACGTGACTAAATAGTTAGTTGCATTATTAGTGACTATTGCAGTTACTAAGTTCGTATTGCATTAATAATTTTTATAGCTTTATCAGGTATTAATGAGTTGAAAGTGACCTAACCTTTCGTGGCTATGATACGCGTTCTTAATATTAAGAAAACACAAAACGAATGAATCGTAACGATATCTGATTTAATCGAATATTAATCGAATACTGATGACTTACAATAAATATAATCATAAAGAAACTATACAGACACTATGAAAAGGCTTCGGATATTTTTTTTAAACATCAATAAAGCAAGTTTTTAAAATTTAAAAAACGAACTGTGTCGTTTTTTCTCTGAATTGACAAAATAATTAATAAAAAACTGAAAATTAAAACGAATATATTTTAATTTATAAAGATTAACACATAATTTACTTAATAACAGGAAACTCTTGTATTGCATGTAATTATTATAAGATATTATTATTACATCATTAGTTACAAACAAACCGTAATAACTATTTTCATATATTTTGCCAAACGAAAACCTTAGGAAGAATTTAATTTAATCGACTTCGAGTTTGAAACCAACTAACTTAGCACGTTACCAAAAATTTATTTACGTCTGTTTATTAATATTACACAAATACTATTAGCAAAGTAATATTAAAGAAAATATTACATGAAAATTGCATTCATAAGCATGTACTTTTAAAGGTTTGCACGCGAAAGGCTTAAGGGAAATCTTAAATGCAAAATTATTTCTTAGTCACTTCTACTAAGTAGAATTGTATGATCTGCAAAACGAAGTACAAACGACTATCTGCTGATCTCAGCTAAATCCCACCTTTGTTTACGTTTAAATCTATGTTGAAAACAACATGCTCTTTTATTTCCTATATGGTAAAAGTTGTTATCTAAATTTTTTTACAAAATGTCGAAATTTTGCCGTTTTCCGTACGGCAGTAGAGCGAAGATTTTTATTATTCAAACGATTATATACAAACAGAAAGTGACTAATTTGACCGAATTAGTAAGTTATTTTTAATTGATTTTTTTAATCGACTTTAGGCAAAAAATATTTTTAATATCTTCCCGTTTCGTCCCACTATCGTATCGTATCGGTTATGTTTTTTTTAAACTTACAATAACTGTAGGCCTGATTTACTCGTATAGATCTAAAAACCTTAAAAATTTTGTACATTACATTATTCCTTTATTAACACAATTTCCTTTTGCTCTTTTTGTTTTAATTATATATTTTTACTTTACTTATTTAGTAATACTATCAAAATCATGACTCAAAATTATTTAGGTTAAAAAATTAAAATTGTAATTTATTTTGGTTAACGAATGAAATTGGGTTATGTGATTTAAAATTGTGTTTTAATATGTTTTAATCTGTAGTAATGTCATGTTTTAAATAGTAATGGAATCATTATATTAATTTTAATAAACAAGTTAGACTACCCAATTTAAGTACAATGATTAAACCAATTTTTTTTTTAAATTGAAAACAAAATTGTTTAACAATTTAGTAAGTTACCAAAAATATGATATGTTATCTCAAGAAAAAGGAAAGGGACCTGTATTGTTTTTAATATCGCCAGTTTTTTGCCCATATTTTAGCAATTGCTTTAGTGTTGCTTTGAAATAAATATTAGCATGTTACACTACACAGTACAGTTGGCAACCCTAAGTAACATATGTCTACTAAACTAGTGTTGTATCCTTTAAAATTGTTAAACTCAGTAAGTATTTACTAGTAATACAGTTATTGTGTAAAACAGGGCATTACTACAGCTAGTATTTTACTATTGGTATACAGACTCACTGTGATAGTTTATAAAATAAACATAATTTTACGTGAAGTTAGTTTCATAAATATGATTTAATTTTTGATAAATGTTTTATCATCTTGTTTTATTTTAACAAAATGTGTGACAAATTATTATGAGCACACATAGATCACACACGGTAGATACTTCATTAGGTTTGAAAAATATAATAGTGTTATTGAAACAAAAAATTTCAACATGTCAATTTTATACTGCAGTTATAAGCATAATGATCAAATGTGGATAAATGAATACCTACGTAAGCGAAGTACAATTTTATAATAAATGTAAATGTTTATTCGTACTCTGAATAATATCATTTTGTTGTTAATTTTATTGAAAAAAAATGTATGTGACAATTTATTTTTGTAATAAATATTTTAACAATGGATATTATTGTTTTATTAGAATCTGTATTAGGCATCTTGTTTGCCGTATGTTACAAAATCATGTTTAATTAAAGTTGTACCGGGTTCGAGTGGTTGGTGACCAGACTGCTGATAAACATACTTATATATTTCTAAATATAATATGTATATTATAGATAAATTACACACAGACACAGAACAAATGATCGTGCTCATCACACAATATTTGTCCTGGGTGGGAATCGAACCCACGACCTCCGGCTTAGCAGTCAGGGTCACTAACCACTAGACCATCCGACACTTCTATTTACCAAAGTACAGTTGGCTAAATATGGGTGATAAACACGCCTCTGTCGCTGATTACGCGTATATTATTTTTAAATTGCTTATTATATGTATAGTCATTATATGTAGGGGTGTGCGTTACCCCAGCAAAATAATGTCGAAAATGGTCATTTAAACTTTATAGATAATTAGTTGCTCCCCTTCTGTAATTGTTAAGCACATTTTTAAATTTGTTTCACTTAAACTTTTTTAGTTATTTCAAAAAAATATTTCCTGCTGGGGTAACGTTTGAAACGTTACCGCAGCCAGACATTTTCTTTTTTAATTGTAATATTGAAATAAATTTTAGCTAAATAATTAGTTATCTGGACTAGGTAAATGTTACAACTTATTTGGTATTTGTATTTTCTTCGGATGCGAAGTTATTCGAAATCCTGCTGGAGTAACGTTTGTGGGTTTGCTGGATCTCTGAAACGGGTAAGCGGATTGTAACCATCTTTTGTACATAACTTCTTAAGGATTAGTTTTAATTTGTTCGACAATAAAATAACAAAAATAATGGACCGTTTAAAAATTATTTAGGTAAGTATGAAAACACTTCAATACGTCCTAACACTTTAAATAAGACCTCTAAAGACTTACTTGAAACGTAATTCTATTGCTTGTAACTACCTTCAAATGTATACGAATTTTCGTAAGAATACTGTAAGTGACTAAAAAGTTATGATGAAATGTAGCTCTCCACGTTCACGATCACAATGTGTGCGGCCTTTTTTGGCCACCGATAAACCTGTGTGTGGATATATAAACTGAATGTTATGCCAATAATTAGTTGTTTAGTTCAGTTGTCTACCTGTAAAATTTCAGAGTAGTACATATAATAATTTACGAGATAATTAAATAAAAGTCGTTAGAAGGTGCAAGACCGTGGTAACCCGACCATGTTTGGGTGGTTACAAAAAAGCGATCACCCAGTACATTGCGCTGTCTTTTAAAATGTTTAGTGTAATACACCTTACGATTTCGGTACAGTTGCGTACAGTGTTAAATACATTCAATATTTATTCATTATTATTACCTATTATTTATTTTGTTTTTTTCCCTAATTGATCTTAAGCACTAGTTTCTTTACTTAAAATTTATTTAGTCTTTTTTACTACCGGAGCTACAATCAACAGAAAATCTGCACTGGTCCGCTAAAATTAGAAATATGTAGATACATGTATGAACGCTTCACCTGACTGCAATAAAACGAAAATTTAAACCAATAAGAAATCGTTTCATTTCTTTGATTTTTTTTTGTAAAGAAATAACACTAAAGTAATTGTATTTTATTTTGGGGTGTAAGTATAGAGCTTAGACTTGAATGCATCAAAATATTTAAATCAACAAGTCATCTACAATTAGTTAAAATAGACCGAATAGTAGAAGAATACAGTTGTAAATTAGAATGCATCAACATTGCATCGCCCAACAGTCGTATACCTCGTAAGAGTAGGTAACATTGTTCTGTGGTCTATACCGAGAACCGAGAATTATCTATACCTATGTACCTACCTGTGACTGTTGATTTCTGTTAAAATCGAAGAGTTGTTGAATGATATTTTGATATAATAACGGTAATTTAATTTATCGAGTGAAAGTGATACATTTTTATAGATAAAATTATTGGTCAGATAATATTTGTCAATCAAGAATCGCTGATAATACATCCTTCGCTAGAACGCGGGAGGGGAGGGGCGAAGGGATACTTCATTGTTTGCAATTTGCATCTAGTGCACTAAAATTGACCCTTAGGCAGATAATATACCTACGTGTTGTAAAGTACGTGTGCGCTTCCGCTTTCTACTTTTGCAAATATTTAACGTATTCTTGAGGGTTCTTCAATATGTGTGTACCTAATTACTAATAATAGGCATTAATGCTAATTCGATTCAATTTAAGTAATTGTCAATTCTTGTCTTAGGATATTAATTACTAATGCTAATATTGAAATTTCGTTCAGGGTGAACAAATTAAAAACGATCATAACTTTTAGGTAGGTATATCACTTATTACTAATTTTACATAAATAATTTATTTTATTATAATTTAAGTCACCGCGATTTTGTGATCAAATATTTTATTTTCTCCAACATTATTACAGAAATAATGCAATACAGAGTTTGTTCGCGATATGCTAGCCTAAGTCGATTCATCACTTTAAAAAATCCCCATCTATTCACAAAATACCTATTTACAACGCATACGTTACACTCTTCAAAACTTATCATTTCATTTCATATTTCTTAAATTACCTATACCTACCCTAAAATTAAACTTCAATTAACAAATACTACGCAGGTACCAATTCTATGAACAACTATAAACAATTCACCTAAACATTACGACAAACCAAAAGCATTCAAAACAATACCTAATCTCCCGGCTGATTATAATCAGTATTATTAGTAATTACTAATTATGCAATAAACAATCCTAAATAAAAAATATTTAAAAAACATGTAGTTTTTTGTAACACTTATGTACATATCCGTAGTAAACTTGCAAATAATATCCTACATATTTTAAAAGCCAGCACAATGTACTGGGTGATCGCTTTTTTGTAACCACCTAAACATGGTCGGGTTACCACGGTCTTGCACCTTCTAATGACTTTTATTTAATTATCTCGTAAATTATTATATGTACTACTCTGAAATTTTACAGGTAGACAACTGAACTAAACAACTAATTATTGGCATAACATTCAGTTTATATATCCACACACAGGTTTATCGGTGGCCAAAAAAGGCCGCACACATTGTGATCGTGAACGTGGAGAGCTACATTTCATCATAACTTTTTAGTCACTTACAGTATTCTTACGAAAATTCGTATACATTTGAAGGTAGTTACAAGCAATAGAATAACGTTTCAAGTAAGTCTTTAGAGGTCTTATTTAAAGTGTTAGGACGTATTGAAGTGTTTTCATACTTACCTAAATAATTTTTAAACGGTCCATTATTTTTGTTATTTTATTGTCGAACAAATTAAAACTAATCCTTAAGAAGTTATGTACAAAAGATGGTTACAATCCGCTTACCCGTTTCAGAGATCCAGCAAACCCACAAACGTTACTCCAGCAGGATTTCGAATAACTTCGCATCCGAAGAAAATACAAATACCAAATAAGTTGTAACATTTACCTAGTCCAGATAACTAATTATTTAGCTAAAATTTATTTCAATATTACAATTAAAAAAGAAAATGTCTGGCTGCGGTAACGTTTCAAACGTTACCCCAGCAGGAAATATTTTTTTGAAATAACTAAAAAAGTTTAAGTGAAACAAATTTAAAAATGTGCTTAACAATTGCAGAAGGGGAGCAACTAATTATCTATAAAGTTTAAATGACCATTTTCGACATTATTTTGCTGGGGTAACGCACACTATGTAGGGCGCTTTTAAATATGTCGGGGTACCAGGGATTTCTTTTCTAGGGTTACACTGGTTCCCTGCTACTGGTAACCGAGACGGTTTGCGGTTTTTAGTCGGTTTGAGTCCTACATAACCACCCCACCGTCTGTCAGGTGGAAGTTTCGAGGGGATTTCCGCAGAGATAAACAAGAGTGATTTTAAAGTAGACTCTAATTGAAACTACTACAAGGTCGTGATTTAAATAAAAACACAGGTTTTATAGACAATCTCTTTACTTTTCGTTGTTAAATAATACTTGAAGGTATAAAAAATATATATTTACATCTCAATTCCTAACTTATGACTATTTGTAAATGAGTTTTACCTATTATAAATATAATAGGATATTACAATAAAAACTTTCGTACCTATATTTATTAAAGACGAGTCGCGACAGGTCGCTCTACGCCATGATAAAGGACCCCCGTTGATCCTGTAACTAATCGTGGTTTAGGGATGTACGATTAGTTACAGTTTATTAAATAAATATATTAAGGAATTTCTGCTATTACGTAAAAATCAAAAATAAATAAAAAAAGTAAGGGGCCATTAGGCCTTAAATGTTTGCCTTTAAGTTTAGAAGAAAGATATCTGACTATTTCTTTTATTTAACGGACGGCTAGAAAGTACATTACAATTAGACATTATACTTGATTAAAATACATTACTCTTCTATACAATATTAAAGTAGAAATCTCGCTAAGGTCAGTCAAGAATTTAGTTATGTCAAAACACAAATATCTCAATCAAAACAAATTTCTTTGAAAAAAAAAACGTAAAAAATCTGTTTGAACCTTTTTGTAGTTCAGAACTAACTTAACTTATATAAGAATAAAGATAGCTGTACCCAGCATGCTTTGCAGTGCCAAGTAAAGTATAACGAAAATAATAAAAAATAAACCTCATTTATATAGATTTTTTGGGCCAGAAGCCTACCAAAAAAATCATCATAATCTTGTCAATGGTTCCGGAACGCATAGAGGACAAACATACGAACATTGTATGTTTATTTATATAAATAAACGGTGTGTTCCTTAAAGAACTTCTGAAACCATTGCGGCAGGACGTTTCACTTCTTCAAAACTGACCCCAGTTGGGTCCGAAATGTGAATCCCCCAAATACATAAGCTTTTAAATCCGTTTATTTACAATAAAACAAACATAGTACTGTCAATCCATCGAATACAATTTAAAATAGTATTTTTGGATTTTATGTATGTTTTATTACACAAAAATTGATGACTTCTAGACGAGCGCCAGCGCTAAAAAAACATATTTTCACATATTAAATATAGCTTGTATAAATGTTAGCCAAAATTGGTCCCTTACAATATAAATAGAATAACCCAACTGCATTTATTTTAGTTCCGAGTTTTAATTTTTAAACTTTTGAACTTTTGCATTACATAATACTCGTATACAATGATGTACTACGAGAATTAACGCGCTCACAATAAGTAATTGAATTGCGTTAACGTTTCAACCAGAAGTTCAATTCTCATAATAAAAATCAATCAAAATTCAGTGCCGATTCAGTAACAAATGTCTCGTAGTAAAGTATTACTAAGACTAGCAGAATACCGATTCAACTTTCAGTTACAATACGATATAATCACATTACAGTCAACATGGGATGTTTAATATTTTACTACGAGAACGAACAAACGAATTTTGATTAAGAAAATTGACCTTTTGGTTGACTCTTGGCTGTACTTGCCGTGTACTAGCACCGCATGCGTGTTACACATTTCCGTCCCTTATCAAGATATTACTCACATAAAGTACAGGAAAGCGAGAGGAAGTATATTACACATAAAAATATTCAGCATTACCAAATTAGCATAGCTATTTTAACCCCCGACGCAAAAACGACGGGTTGATATAAGTTTGACGTGTCTGTGTGTGTTTGCCTGCCTGTGGCATCGTAGCTCCCGAACGGAAGAACCGATATTCATTTTGTTTTTTGTTTGTTTGAAAGTTGAATTAGTCTTCCTAGCTATGTTTGATGAATATGGGTATCAATGAAAGGCCTTGACTATTAGCATACTATACACTATGACAAATTTCAAATCCAAGATCACAAATCCTCGGGGTTTTTTTTTAAATTTTAATTTAATGGCCTAGATACAATTTCCCACAGTCGAGTTATACTACTACAATCACCTATAATTCCGAATACAATACATATCTTAAATAATATTATTTTGTACAATAATTGTAATTTACAATAGTTTTATTCATATGGCAGTAACTATTCGAGAGGACAGAACAAAATAATTTAGTTAACATCACTAGTTATACTAACAATTGGCTAAGATTTATTTATTTAATAATATTTTACTTCAGTTAGGTTTTGTTATAGTTCTTAATATTTACAAAATCCGTTTATTGTGTTATTTCTAGTATTTAGCAAACTTTTTCGATACTGTTATACAAATAAATAATGCGCCATGAACCTATGTGGTACAAGGTTTTTTCATCTACGAACATTTTCGACATTTTTTACATCTACCCACACATTTTCGATATATTTCATACTTTCTTATTTCCATTTAAAATCACATTCACTAATAATACTACGCTAATTGTCTCTCTTCCTCGAATTACATTTAGGACACGTTGATTTTATACATTTGTAAAGGAATAGACGTTACACAAAGGGAGGATCCTCCGACAAGGATCCACACGACTGAAGACAGTATAAAACCTTTAATGAACTGGAATACTCTTGTCTGCATTCAGAAGCGAGTCTAATACTTTAAAGAGTAAAAAATGAATTTCTAATAGTAATAGATTCAAGAGGGATTTCACAGACAACCAACTAATCCTTTTAATGTTGCTATAACAAAAAAAGAGGTTTTACAGAGAGTAACCGAAAAAGTTCATCTTTTTATCACAAGGGATCCAAAAGAGTACACCTACTTCAAATACAGATTGATCACCGAATTCGTAACTAATAAGAACTATACAAAAGTGAAAAAAATTACGTTTAGATTATTTTAAGTATATAAAAATACACCACATTATATGGACGTTGTCAATGTATCACAATACAGTGTTGTATATAATGGTAACAAAATATATAATGAAGTATTCGAACAGTCTTGTATTGGTGAATAATTTTAATTTTATTTAATAATACATTGCCAACATGCATCACCACACTTAACTATTATTATTTACACTTAGTTTTATATTTATAAACCCAGCAGTTTGTGTCACACGATCTGTAATAGAAACAAATGGAGGTGATCAGCACTTTTTATTATTCAGAGCAATGAAAAGATTATTAGTTTGTATGATAAACATTTGAGAAATTCAAATTCAAACACTCACCTCAAAGCACTCCTAGCCCCGAAGGTCTAGGCGGTGGCTCCGGCGTGTCTGCTGAAGGAGGCTTAAACGTGCTACCCTGGAAAAAAAACAAAAAATAATTTTACTTTTATATTAGTTTTTATTAGAAAAATACCCTCATTTTATTATTATAAATAATTTTGTTGTTGAAAGTAATGCATACAGACTTTTTTTTAAAGAATTTGGGATTTAACGGAAATCGTTTTTGGGATTCGATGACAATAAAGCGCTAAAATATTCTCTTGCATTTTAAAAATAATGTGTTGTGAGATCTAACGCCAAAAATATTAAACGGGATTCAAAACTGGGATTCAACGAAAATAAATCGTTGAAATCGAGAAGTACGTTAAAGAAAACCGTTTGTCTGTGTGGTGACGGATTAAGAATACGGAGTGGTACCACCACTATTCATCCCGTGGGTGTCGTAAGAGCCAACTAAGGGAGCAAACTACGCAGGACAACAGCACTGTAAAGAGAAGGAGAACTTGACATAAACCCTATACCAACCCGTCTGGTCAGCGTGGTATAATAGCCTAAAACCTCCTGTCTAAAGAGAGGTATTTGTCCAGCAGTGTACTATTAAAGGTTGTTGATGTATCGGATGTGATGTAAAGAGAACTTGTAAGATTAGTGTCATCATCATCATCATCAACAGCCTATACTAGTCCACTGCTGGACATAGGCCTCTCCTTAGAAAGGAGGTTTTGGCCCACTATACCACGCTGGCCAGACGGGTTGGTATAGGGTTTGTTTCAAGTTTTCCTTGTCCTTTCAGTACTGTTGTCCTGCTTAGTTTGCTCACCTTAGTCGGCTCTTACGACACCCACGGGATGAATTGGGGTGGTGACAATTTGTATTCTTAATCCGTCACCACACGGACTAAGATTAGTGTGTATAGTGAGTAAGTTCCGGACCTGGAAGCCGAGCGCGGCCTCTGCGGGCGTGGGCGAGTCCCCGGCGAGCGTGGCGTAGTCGCCGAACCGCTCCGTCGCGCGGCTGCCCTGGATTGTCGCGTACGTGTTGTCCGTCTGGGAATTAAGATTATTTCATTGTCATATTATCTTCTTTACATATTAAAATGAGTAATAATTACTTGTTGCAATCGACTGAAAATTATTGAAAAATATTTATAAAATTGTAGTTCACCCTAATTTATAATCATTATCAACAACTCTTAGGGGCTTGCCTACCGCCAGGCCCGGGAGCCAGGTACCGCAGGCGACTCAGGCGCCGGAGGTCTCAGAACAACCTCCGTCCTCCATAAGCGCAGGCCGTGGGGTGACAGGTGAGGCCATCTGTCACCCTAGCAGAAGCAGGCCGGGGTGGAGGCGAGTGCGTTGCGAAGCGCGCTTGCTTCCAGGGAGCAGAGGGAACATGGGGTTCCCACACGGGGGGGGGGGGGGGCGTCTACTCGTCTGTAGATGGCCCGAGGTATGTCGGGGCACCAGGGACTTACTTGCCTTGGACTACTTACCTACTACACACTACAACAATGTAAAATTAATTTTAGCAGGATTCTAATTAAACAGAGTATATTTACAAAAAAATGTATTTTAGCATATGAGTATCGTATATGTATTTTTACAAAATCACTTGAAAATACACAACATGTTGTAGAAATCCACATCGGAATAGACACTTTCCTAAGAAACTTCTAGTAATTTTATTTTAAGAACATAAGACTCAAAAATAAAATTTGTATTTAAATTAATATTTATCTAAACAAAACATGATCCAAATAATGTTAAGTGAAAACCTGAGCTTATAACCAAAAGTAACCCCGTGGTTAAACTGTGCAAGTTTTTTTTTATGAAATTTAGTATCCTTTGACAATCTCAGACCTTTATGGTGTTATCTGATTTACTAAAAGCAGTACACACCATATAGAACAAATACTGTAACTTATAAAGAAATACTCAAGGTCCCACTTACCGGAGCAGATTCAATTATTTGCTGTTCCTGGTCTCCGAATACGTTCATGGTGAGTTCCTGCTCCTCGTAAGGTCTTAGTTTCGTCTCCAGCCATAGAGGGTTCTCTGTAGTCGAGAGCTCTTCGAGGATGCGCCGCCTTGCTAAGCTGTCTCCCTTACTGGACTGTAGAGATGGTGGAGGAATGACCCTGGAAAATACAATGTATCAAATTAAAGCCCTGGGAAAGTGAGTTTGGGTTTTTAACCGACTTTAAAATTCTGATTTACTAATTTCTCTGGGTCTAATGGTTAGAGACCCTGACTGCTAAATCAGACGTCGTGAGTTCGATTCCCGTCCAGGACAAATAATTTTGTGATGAGCGCGATCATGCTCATGATTGATCTCTCTGCATGTAAGCATGAGTAGTGCCTAGTTAGGGGATTAGACGCCCATATGTGAGACGTGTAATTTTTGTTATTATTATTTATCGTAACCATGTTTCAGGGAATATAGCAGACCAAAGAAATCCCGATATGGTCCCCAACGATGGGATCTCGGACCTAGCAGTGCAACGGTATGTCTGTCACATGACAGCTAATTCTTATCGTAAAATGAGATCATAATAATTTAGTAGAATTTAAGTTCTGAGTAAACCATCCATTAGATAGAAAAACATTCTCCCATACTATTACGGTAAAATAGATGTAAGTATGTAGGTATGTATGTAAGTGTAACTTACCAGTGCTTAAGGCATGCGCATACGACTATGAAAGTGACGATTCCAGTGAATAACACTATGAGCAGTGCTATTAATGCTGCTAAAGCTGGATCGAAGCTGTCAGGAGCTGAAACAGATAATAAAAGTTGTATTATTGTAATACATATTGCTCTCTAGATTTATACTAGAGGTCGTGGGTTCGATTCTCAAATAGGAGAAATAATAACTTTATGAGCACGATTGTATATACTGTTCTTTAGTATATTTAATCTATAATGTGTAGGTATATATTTTGTATTATAGAAATTTGCTTATCAGTAGTTTGGTTACTACTCGCATAGAATCGGTTCTATCTAGTTTTGGATTAGTCGACCATGCGTGGTCAAGATATTATTTTATCTTGTACTATGGGATATAAAATATGAATATATGGTATTGTAGATAGAAACACCCAGACCAATGGTGATCAAATAATGATAATATAAAAACAGAAGGGTTAAAAACCTAGTAACTCGACGACATTGGAAAAAAAACTCAAAATATAGGTACATATAAAATTACTGGTCCTGATCGTTTTTTTTTTAAAGTCAACTCCCGCATTAGGAATATATCCTGTGTCGCGGGGGATTTTACAAACATACATGAAACGGACACAAAGAACACCCAGACTCAGAACAACAATTTGTGGATCGCACAAAACGTCGTCCCATGTGGGGTTTGAACCCACAACACTTGGCGTAGTAGGGAGCGGCGTGGCGACCGCTTATACCACTAAGCCATCTGTGCAGTTCAGTTGAGTGATAAATCAAGGCAGAGCCTAAACCGCTGGGGCTAAACTTGAAATTTAGACAGTTAAAGCTTTTTCATTAGTAAGAAGTACTCTTACAGAAAGGGTTTTTGGAGAATTCATCCCTAAGTAGGTAAAAATAAGGGATGAACGGGTGTATGGAAGTTCGTTATTTTCAAAGGAATAATTACGCGAGCGAACTCAGTAAATTTTACACAAAATTGCTGTTTTTTGTTCATTTTACCTTTAGAACTAGCGCTGGCTGCGATGAGTGTCTCCACTCCATATTCCTGGTATATATCTTTTAGCTCATCGTATTTAGAGTCGATAGTCTCCAGGACCTTCTCCACTGGTAGTACTTGGTACGTGTTAGGGTCAACTGCGTGCAAATGGATTTCACACCTGTAAAAGAAATTCAGGATATTTATTTTGACGAGAATGTTATAAGATTTTTTAGACCGTTTATACACTACTAATGAAATATCTGTGATTTTTTATTAGAGAAATTAAAATCAATAATGCTTGAAACTATAATGATTCGTTGTGGTGAAGAAACGAGTTGGTTTTAATTGAGAGAAAAAAACTTGAGGTCGCTATTTGTATTTTCGCGGATCTGGATAAAAAAAATATCGTATTTGTCCTAATTTAGCTGTACCAGTATAAAAAAGGTCATTTTATTTGTTTGTTACGTTTTAACAGTTTCATGGTAGATTATGCCATGAAATTTACATGTAGTTTGTTAGGGCTACAGAAGAGGACATAAGATATTTTTTCATGTAGAAAATGAAGTGCTAAATGAGTGAAGCCGTGGACAAGTAGTGTATGACGTCAGCAGTATTGAGTAGCGTGAAGAAGCAATAAGGGCAGTGGTTACCAGTCGTTGTACCGTCGGTCGGCGTGCACGAGCGGCAGGCGCGTGCCCGCCACCAGCAGCGCATGCGCCGACGAGCCGAGGCGCCGCTGGGCCCCGCCCCCCGCCCCACCCGCCCCGCAGCTGCGCGACACCACCATGCGGATCAGCGCCGACCGGTCGATGATCCACACCTGTCCATATATCGATTTAATACCTTCACTATCGACGACCGATCATCATCCTTTAGTATCAATTTTTCAATTCTAAATTCAAAATCACATTAATTGACATAAAAAATGCTTTCGAATCTATAGTCCGTTCAAGTTAAGGCAATAATGACTCGTCAATTAAGCCCCGCACCTGTTCAATCAAGTACCAAGCTTTCGTGCGAATCAATAATTTCTTAAAACCTGACTTCAGATTATTGGTGTGACACCAATGACCAGAATTCGCTACTGTAACATAATCATAGAATTCTTCAAATATCTAGTACGTAATGGGACACTATCAGTGAGACCAAACAAATAGTTTAAGGCATTATCGTGATACTCCGTTATCATATCATGAACTCGATACGAATTCTATAATTTTTCGTGCTCAAGGTAGTCATCTTACAGTTGTCTCTCAAACAATGGCACTCCGGAAGTACCAACATAAACCTTTTTTTTTATATAACGGGGTATCTTTTTGATTTTTTTTTCGAAATGTTCCGACATATCTGTATTGTACGTATATACACAATATATGTTTATAGTATATATATAGTTATATTATCAATGTACTTTAACCCAAACTCAACTCCCGTGTAAACGGAGCCAATATATGTAGATACTTATATACAGAGGTGTCGGTAACGGTAACAGTGTAGCGAGTTCAATGGTTTTTTCCATCTCAAAAAACACATTATTTTGTTTGTTGTTCAAAATTGCCCAACACGCCTAACCGGAGTTAACCGGAGCGATACCATAACCTCAACAAAGACCTGTATTAAACTATTCTTTAGCTACCTACGTATTTCTCTCCGGTAACCTCACATTACCTCCAACGGTAGTACCTCCGGTCACATTACCTCCAACACTTGTGACTTTTTGAGTTGCCCCCCTCCCCCCTCTACACTATAAAAAAAACAGTGGCACTCCGGGAGTCCCTACAGAAGTGAAAATTTATATTCTTATACTGAGGTGTCGGTAGCGGTAACAGTGTCGGAAGTTCAATTGTTTTTTCCGATCTCAAAAAAATCCTAACGCGCCTAAAGAAGTTTTCACTTCAAAAAATACTTTACTTACATATACTTGTGCCTTAGCTTGTCGATGAGGAGGAGCCACCTCCTGCGCGATGATGTCCAGCACGAACCTGTCTTGGTTGTACTCCGACATGTAGTTCGCAGTCATTAAAACACCTGCACATTACATATTTCGTTAATACATAATAGCGTTAATAATACATACATACAATAACTTATCAAGCGAAAACTTAACTCATCCTTAAAGAAAAGAGCGCCCCTCTTCCATAAAATAAATAAAAAACAAAAATGCCTTTCCCCCAAATAAGTCTATAACCTTCTTATATCCTGATTCAAGGACATTAAATGTAATATATCTCACCATCTTGACTGATATTGAAAGGCGACGGCACCACACTACCGCTGGACACTTCAGCACCAAACTTGTACAGATTAGACGCAGCCACCATGTAGATCAAGGTTCCATTCTCTTCCAGATCTGGATCCTCGGCTACCACGGATAGGATGGGCTCGTTGATACGGGCTGTGTGCTTGATTCCTATAAACAATTATACAACCAGTCTATATCATGGTATGGTAGAAGTTGCAGATAAAACCATGAATTAGGGACATATTTTAGTTCTGTGATATACAAGTGCTAAAAATAGCAAATGTATGTATGTAATTTGGGCTAAAAAAACCTTTGGGCTTCAGCTGAAAATCAGCGCTGTGGTCACTTTTAGGGACCATAGCAAAAGGCTGAGTTGTGGCCCTTTAGTCACACACAGTGATAATTTTATTATTTCGTAATTATTTGTTTTGTTATTGTTTGTGCTATTCTTTAGTTTAACAAAGTGTTTTTTTCTTTATCTCTTTTATGTTATATATCTAATTTTTTTTGTTGTGTCTAATAAACGTATTTTCTTTCCTATTTTCAAATAGTATACTAATAATAATAATATTAATAATCTTTATTGTAACAATTAGTGGATTACAAGCATTATACAGCCCTGATTCCCAAACTAGCGCGAGCTGTGTGTAGTGAGTCAGTTCCTTCTCAAACACAAGGTGAACAATAGTTACAATAGTAGATACAATTTAGTTACGTAAGTAATTAGATATGATTCTGTATGGGTATGTGTATATGTTTGTGAGGGTGTGCGTGTGTGGTATGTGTGAGGCTGGGAGAGAGGGTATGTATATGTGTGTAGTGTGATCGAGTGTGTGTGACGTGTGTGTGAGTATAAACTCTATCTATTCCCCGCGGCTTCCCTCGCGCGATATTAACTTATTTCTTGTTTTTAATTTTAATTTTTCTTCCTTTCTGCTTGAAACCAGACAGCTAAGATGGACCAAGTTATTTACCTGGCATGTTGGAGTAATGGTTGGTGTGAACGTCAAAATACCTATATCTCATAAAAAAAATTGAAATCGTCTTTTATGTAGACTCAAAGATCAACACACATAATAGCAACGACATGTTTTGTCATATATTTAGCAAAAAGAATCCAATCCTATTATATGCCTGTGGCTACAACCCTGACTACTAAACCGGAGGTCGTGGGTTCAATTCCCAACCAAACCAATTAATTGTGAGCACGATCATTTGTTCCGTATCTAAGTATAATTTACTTATAATACGTTTGTATTTAGAAATATATAAGTATAGCGCAGACTCTGCCTAGTGTGGGATTAGACGGCCGTGTGTGAGATTATTATTTTTATTAAAAATCCCCTGATAAAAAGCACCCTTTAAATAGTGGATGAAGAGTTGATGTATCTGATTCTTACCAGCATAGTAAACCTTCTCCTGAAACTTTGGCTCGTTATCATTCTCGTCCAGTACTTTGATCTTCACCACTGTGATGCTGGGGTCCACGCCGTCTGTGATATTCTCCACCAGGTTCAAGATGGTACCCGCGTTCTCGAGTAGTGGGTTGTTGCTGGCGTATACAGTAAATGAGTAGTCGGATTGTTTCTCCCTGAAATAATTTATATAATGTACTGTATTGATTGAATCAGGAATGAGGAGATCCGCAGACGAACCAAGGTTACTGACATAGCCCGGAGACTTGCAAAGTTAAGTGTGACTGAGCGGGGCACATTCCTCGTAGAAAAAATGGCCGATGGGTGTTTTTTAGGGTTACGTACTTCAAAAGGTAAAAAAGGAACCCTTATAAGACCACTTTCTTGTCCGTCTGTCCGTGTGACACCACCGATTTTCTCAGGAACGGGTAGACCTAGCAAATTGAAATTTATACCAGATACTGAGGTTTATGGTCCCTATTAGATGAATAAAAATCAAGGTCCTGAGTCAAAATGATAAAAAGATATGGGCAAATTTCGATTTTCGCGAAAACTTGTAAGTACCAAAATTTACCTTAATTTTCAACTTTTTTATTTTTCTGAATTTTCTCTTTAATTGTGCTGTAAGACTTTGCTTTTAACCAAAATTCCTATAGGTATACCCTATAGGTTTTGGGTCGAAAACCTATATGGTAGTTCCCGTTGACCTAGAATCACGAAATTTGGCAAAAAGAAAAGTCTTACAGCACAATACATACATAACATAAAGGAATAATACCAAAAAATAAATAAAGTTGAAAATTAGGATAAATTTTGGTACTTACAAATTTTCTCGAAAATCTACGTAAAATCTGGGTAGGTACGGAACCCTCGGCGCACGAGTTCGACTCGTACCTGACCGGTTTTTTTTGTTTATGGTATAGGGAAGTCAAACGAGCAGTCGAGTCACCTGTGAAGTCGCGGTATATCCAGGTATAACTGGCCCATTTGCACTTAAGCATGACTCTCCCACGGTCATCTAATCTTAAAAAAGGTTGTGAGACAAGTAAAAAATTCTCTCACCTATCAAAACTGATGTTAGCTCTAATGATGCCGGAAGTCCTGTCCATCGTGAAAGCTCCTTCCTGGTTCCCTTCTAGTATATGGTAGTAAACCTTGCCATTGTCGCCGGAGTCCTTATCGGTAGCTTTGACCGTACCTGTAAATTGTAAATTATCTCTAAATAGTATAAAATTTTGCTTTCTGCTTCAATATGTTTGTTCAATACGCGTCATCATCATCAATAAATTGCCGTCCACTGGTGAACGAAGGCCTCCCCCCAGGAGCGCCCATTATTCCGGACTTTGGCAGTCCGCACCCATCCAATACCAGCCCTACTTTTCTAAAGTCACTACGTTTGCTCTTTCGCTTACCTGTTCACTTCTTCTACATAAAGAAACTAATTTTAACACGGTTGCGATTTAAAAAAAGAGTTTTAAATGAAGAAGGAAAGGGCATCATTTTTTTGAATATTTTTTACAAAATGGTAGTGCTTTTTCAAAGCACTTTTGCATTACCAATGCTGACTAAATCTTAAGAGATATCATTAAAGCAATGTTCTAGAAAATTGTAGATCATAAAAAGATAATGGTAAGTGATTATTATTAAAGATACACACCTGCGTTGTCAACCTTTTAGTGCCACCCCCACCCCTCTCAGAATTAGAGGGGGGGGGGGTGTATATAAAGCAAAGAAACAATAAGAGCCTCTTCACACTAGCAGTTGTACAGCGTATTCAACGTATGCGCAGTCCAATGCACGTCAAGTACAGTTAATTGAACGCTGCGCAAGCGCAGCTTAGACGTCATGGTTCTCCCACGGCAGTTTGACAATACTTTCATATTATGTTACATACCGATTATAACTCCTGGAACCAAGTTTTCTTTGATGGCAAATTGATGTAGGGGGGATGAGAAGCGTGGCGTGTTGTCATTATCATCAGCGAGTACCACAGTCAAAAGCTTAAGGGTTTCAAACTGCGCGGGCGTTCCGTTGTCTACTGCGGCTATCACCAACTGCAAATAGGAACAAAATTTAATTTTAGTTTTTATAGTACTGAGGTGGCAAAAGGGTATATAGTACTTACGCCTATCTCGATAATATTGTAATTTAAATAAATAGTAAAAAAAATTGTGTATGAAATTTAATAATTTATTTATCTTGGCCTTTACCTTGTTTTAATTACTTAGTTTAAAAATCGTTGGTAATTAAAAGGTAAAAATGTAATAATAAAAACCGATAAACGAGGACTCGCTGCAGGCCGACGGCCGAGAGACGAGTACTCGGCATCGTATTGGCCAATTAGTGAGCATGTATACATACATGTAAGCCCTATCCGAATACCTAATTGTTTTCGGGAATACATATACACTTTTTTACATGACTGCACGAATTTTGTAATGGTTTAAGCAGTCACCTCGCCTCTTCTTACTGCGCTAATTCTTGTGGCTTCGATTCCCCACTGAGGATAACACTTTGTGTGATCCACAAATTGTTTCACAGGATATATTTCTATTTCGAGTATCCGTACAAAAGAATCGCCAGGGAAAATTAAAATAAGATCTCGATAGTTAAACGTACCTGATACTCAGACTTGTGTTCTCTGTCCAAGAATGTTTTGGTCCTCAACTCTCCAGTGTCCTTGTCCAAACTAAACTCCGCCGTCTCTCCAACGTTCTGATTGTTCACCTTCAGATAGTAAGATATGCGTCCGTTCTCGCCGGAGTCTTCATCCGTTGCCTTTATTGTGGTTACGAGATAGTCAGCTTGCGCCGCGTTCTGGGAATCACAAATACACTATTATTATTAAATTAGCTTCTCAATTCGACTAATTTATTATATACGTAGTGTGTGTATGGCCATATATTCGCCATTTCTGCGCCATCACCATCAGCCCTTAGTAGTTCACTACTGGACATAGGCCTCTCCTTAGAAAGGAGGTTTTGGCCTACTGTACCACGCTGACCAGACGGGTTGATATAGGGTTTGTGTCAAGTTTTACTTGTCTTTGTAGTGCTGTTGTACTTCGTACTTTGCTCCCTTAGTCGCTTTTTACAAAACTATTTCTGAAGCAATTTTTAAAAATTCTCTGCTTAATTGCATTTTTTTAATGGTATAAGGGGGCAGACGGGTCACCTTCCGCCGCCCATGGACACCTGCAACTCAAAAGTCACAGGTGCGTTGCTGCACTCAAGATAGGTGGAATTCAAATTTAAATATGATACATACAAGCACATAAGGGACCGCTCGACCGCAAATACAATGGCTTTACAAGAAACTGCTGTAAAGTAATTATTTCGTTCTATTTTAACTGAGACCCGGCTTCTGAGCTCCTCCTCCTTAATGATGATGATGAAGTCGGAATTAGTCATTCAAAAATAAATGTAATCTTACCTCTGGTATTTCCAACTGCTTCTGTTCTGGAGTCGGATGCTCAAAGACAGGTTTGTGTCTATTGACACTTAGCACAGTAATATCAACCCTGGCAACGTCAGACTTAGAGCCGGAGCCGTCCTCGTCAGTCGCTACCACCGTGAGGTGGTAGGTGGTGTTCCCCATCACTGGCTTCGAAGGGTATATGATACCATTGGAAGGGTCCACTGAGAACACTCCTGAAAGGAATATGTCTTAAGATATGGTTAAGCAATTCATGTGCTTAGTGATTGTGGGTTTTGTAATGTACGAGTATAGCAAAATTATTAATTATTAAGGATTTTTAATTCAGAATTATACACTGGGATATATAAAATGTTGACTTGAACCGAAACTAAGCTAAAAAAACTTAATTTGACTCTAAGTTCCAAAACACAGACATAATTATTTAGATATTTATTGTAATTTGATCGAAGCTACCTCAAATCATTTATAAAAGTATACACATGAATATAATACTAATATTATAAACCTGTAGAGTTTGTTTGTTTGTTTGAACGCGCTAATCTCAGGAACTACTGGTCTGATTTGAAAAATTCTTTCAGTGTTAGATAGCCCATTTATCGAGGAAGGCTATAGGCTATATATCATAACGCTAAGACCAATGGGAGCGGAGCACCAATGAAGAATGTTTCAAAAACGGAGAAAATTTATTACTATTGAGAGACGCAGACGAAGTTGCGCGGGTCAGCTAGTATACAATAACTGAGTAAATTGTTTAAAAATGTTAGGGTCTAGTCCTAATATAAACAAGTAGCGATTGTATGAAAGGCTAACGCCTAAAAGGTAAATAGACCGCAGGCACATTAAGGTATATCTCGAATACGATCGTACACTTTAATACAACGTATATACAACAAGGAAAACTATAATATTTTGTAGTTTTATCTATATCAAATAGGTTTCCTATTTACAAATTTGGATAAAAGAGTAGCAAATAATAATACCTTTAGATATAAGTTACATATAACAGATAATAAGACTTGCCTAATTTAATTATATAATTTATGAGCCAAAAACACGTTTGAATCTGCGATACTACCTGACGTTGCTGTTGAATGCTCGCTAAGGATTCCGCTGCTACATTACGTAGTACTTAATAGTTTACTGAATTATTTTTATTTTATTTACAACTAGCTGAGACCCGCGGTGTTACCCGCGTTTGTTGTTATAACCGCGGGCAACGCCGCGGGGCAAAGCTAGTCTAAAAAAAGTAGCCTAAGTTACTCCTTATGTCATCAGCTATCTGCCAGTGAAAGTCCCGTCGAAATCGGTCCAGCCGTTCCAGAGATTACCCGGAACAAACAGACAGACAGACAGACAGATAGACAGACAGACAGACAGACAGATAGACAGACAGACAAACATTGTAAAAAATGTTATTTTGGCATATGTACCGTGTAAACATACATATGCATTTAGTAAAAAGCGGTTATTTTAATATTACAAACAGACACTCCAATTTTATTTATTTGTATAGATTTTATGCACTTAATGCCCTGGGAATTCTCTACCAGCCAACTTTTGTGTGGTGTAGAAATCTGGTGAGGTAGGTGCACTGAGGTTGCAGTTGTAATAGTAGTTATACATATAGCTTCAACTAACATATACAATTACATACATGCACACATATACATACATATATAAATATAAATACACATAAATACATATTCGTACACTGTGAATAGGGAGGTGTACTACTGAGTACGTATTTCCGTCAACTGAAGGTAGTTGTGTACATTTTTTTAAAATATGAAACGGTTTGTGAACATGCTGTTTTCTTTTCTTTTTAAAGGCCAACTCCCGCATTAGGAATATATTCTGTGTCGCGGGGGACTTTACAAACATACATGAAACGGACACAAAGAATACCCAGACTCAGAACAACAATTTGTGGATCACACAAAGTGTCGTCCCATGTGGGGATCAAACCCACAACACTCGACGTAGTAGTAAGCGGCGTGGTAGCCGCTTAAACCCCTACGCCATCCGTGCAGTCAAAGATTTGTTTGTTTGTTGTATAGAAAAAAAAAACTAGCATAAAGTTGAATTATATTAATATTTCTCCTACTAAAGGCCTTGTTGCTCTAAGGTCTTGCTTGACAACTTAATGGACAAGATGTTAAGAGGCTGATAATACGGAGGATGTCTCAATTGTCTCCCATCAACATCATTTAATAGTCCACTGCTGGACATAGGCCTCTCCTTAGAAAGGAGGTTTTGGCCTACTATATCACCTGGCGAGACGGGTTGGTATAGGGTTTGTGTCAAGTTTTCCTTCTCTCTGCAGTGTTGTTGTTCTGCGTAGTTTTTTCCCTTAGTCGGCTCTTACGACACTCACGGGATGAATAGGGGTGGTGACAATCAGTATTCTTAATCCGTCACCACACGTATTGTCTATAAAGACTATTATAATAATAATAATAATACTCTACCACATACACACAACGCCATCTAGTCCCAAACTAAGCAGAGCTTGTACTATGGGTACTAGACAACTGATATAAATACATATATACTTTTTTTTTTGTAAATACATACATATTATACATAGAAACATTATGCATGTTGTTTAACTTACAACTCCTATATATTATATAAATTCATTCACGACTCCCACACACTTACATTTAATCACGCACACTTTCACTTTCGGAGGCATTACACGTTTTAATGTGTGATTTCTCAATTCACAAAGACTATAGCCATAAGACTACTGCTGTTATATTTACCTGGTTCAGTTTGCTCTACTATCATGTACTGCACCTTCGCGTTGATCCCCTCGTCTTTATCCTCGGCCAGGACCTGGAGGATGGCAGCTGGTGGGTTGAGCTGAAGGTTCTCCGCAATAGTTGACTTGTAAACTTTCTGGGTGAACACTGGTGCGTGGTCGTTGATGTCTAAGACTTTTATATGCACCTGGAATTTTTATAAGGATGATGTTCTTTGTAAGTAAATATTGAAATGCAGAAAATAAACAAATCAGTCCACTATTATTTTCCATCTGTGATGGAATATTCCCTGAGGTATTGTTTGAACTGTTTTCTGAGTTTACTTGGTATCATAGTCATGCTCTCCACCAACAGAGGGTTCATGTGTATTATTATTTTTATTATTATTATTTTTTAAAGACAACTCCCTCGTTAGGAATATATCCTGAGTCGCGGGGGACTTTACAAACATACATGAAACGGACACAAAGAACACCCAGACTCCGAACAACAATTTGTGGGTCACACAAAGTGTCGTCCCATGTGGGGATCGAACCCACAACACTCAGCGTAGTAGTAAGTGGCGTGGCGACCGCTTAAACCACTACGCCATCCGTGCAATCAAATATTAAAGCGGTAAAGAACATGAAATAAGCAGCATTTTGAAAATAACTTTTTGAAAATATCACGGTTTTCGTGATAAAATACAGTAAAGGATCTTTAAAAAATTGTTTGGTTTTACAGCTCTCTTTATAATGTAGAAACATCACAGGCCTTTACTTCACCAGAGCAAACGGTGAAGTGTAGTGGCGGAATCGAACCGACTAAAACCACAAGGTGTCACGGCTCAAGTGGGTCAATATATGTAGAGGACTTGAATATACAGTAAAAAGGAACCCTCCAAGAAGACCTGGTATTAAAAATTGTAACCTTCTTTTGAAGACGTTTGGTTTGCATTAGGCGGAACGTACGCTTTGTAAACATAATTTACTATTCGTAATATAGGTATGTATAAAAGGAACTTACAGGAACAATGCTGTTTCTTCGCATATGCGCGTGAGCATTGTCACTCGCGATAGCTCTCATGTATACATCGGTGATCACTTCCCGGTCGATCACAGCGCCCTCTGCCACGGTGATCACCCCAGTGATAGGGTCGATGGTGAACAGTGATGAATCGCCTGATAAGCTGAAGCGAATTTCACCGAATTCTCCTGTGAAAGGTAAACAAAAAAAAAAACTGGTTTTGAATGCTTATATTTTTGGAGAACCTATTTTTAAACGATTTTTATTATTTCTGTTTTAACTTTTAACCAGAAACAATCTTGTAAGCCCCCAATGCCCATTTCTGGATAGTTATTGAAACAAACTTTTAACCATATTCGATAAAACCAAAAATATTTTTCTTTCTTAAGCTCAAATTCCTTAAGGTAAATTTTAGGCAAAAAGCAAAAAATCTACCTTAAGGAATTTGTTTTATTCTCCATAACAAGACATATTTTTAAATATCTGTTTGATACTCAGTTTGTGACACAAACATATTCAGGGGCTATTAAATTTAAATAAACAATTCTTTTTTTTTAAATATTTATAAGACCTTAATCAAAAAATAGGTACCATACCTAACTCTATACGACATATCTCGTGGTTAACCTTTACACTACTTTAAATTGCCAAAAACATTGTTTTTATAAAATTTGTAAGGAAAAGTTTTCTAATCGTGCTTCCAATATAATCCTGAGCACATAAATCATTATTCATAGTGGATCAAACAGGACTTAAAGTATGCCACAAACTATGGAGTGTAGAGGCAAGGGAAAGTTGTACCCAAAAGTGTCCAGCTGTATCCTGAAAATAGAGGTCGCTGCCGTACGAAAAACTACGATATGAACATAGCTATTGTAGACGGAGTGAAGTGTGCTGAGTTAAAATATTATGATACTTTTATTGTCTAAAAGTTATTACACGTTTATTTATTGTCTGTCTGTAAAACTCATTGACTATTTTCGCAGTCCAGTACACAGTGTCTTATTATTATTGAAGCCAATATAAATGTATCCTAGGCGACCGCAGCGCCACCCTTATTTGACACGTTTTTACGAACTCTTTTCATATACAGAGATGGTTCTCCTTGCCTCTACTCTCCATATCACAAACATGGTACTATTTAATGACATAGATGGGGACAGACGATAAAACAGGCTTTAAAACTTAGACACGAACATATTTAGATGACGTCAATGGGGATGGGGATTTCTAAAATGAGAGTGGAGCGCATGCGCGGATCGGCTTCGAGTTTGGGTCTAGTCCAAATCTCGGCACATTCTTCTCAGCATTTTCTACAACTGAGGACGTTTGTAAAAGTTGAGGGGAATGTTAAAAACCACTACTGAAAATTCATTCTTATAAGGAAGGATTACGTTTCTTTTTTCAGTAACATTACTAAATAATTGTTTAGTCGAGTGATTTGGACAATAATTTGGACTAGTGGATGTTATGCTATACATTTTATAAATTTCATATTTTTTTATAAAGAATAGTAGTGGTAATATTGTGTGATGATCATCCGTGGGTGTCGTAAGGGTCAACTACAGGAGCAAACTCCCGTCTCGCCAGCGTGGTATAGCAGGCCAACACCTCCTTTCTAATGAGGGGCCTATGTCCAACAGTGGACTATGAAAGGCTGTTGACGATAATGATGATGATTCATATTTATGACAGATACACGATTTTACTCCCATGTGTCCTTTCTTACGCATAGGACGTTTCACTCCTTGAATAAGAACCCCCGTCGAGGCAGAAATGAATCGAGTATCCAATAGATACAAAGCTGAATAAAATCTTTTGTCAGTATACCACTATGGTGTCACACATACCTTCATCATCATCAGTAGCGCTAACAGTGAGCACGCTGGTGCCAGGAGCCGAGTGCTCCTCAACCGTAGCTTCGTACCCCGGCAAGGAGAAGGTAGGCTCTTCATCATTCGCGTTGATGACCTGGACCGTGACTCCTGCTGAGGTGCTGAGCTGTGGCACTCCGGAGTCAAAGGCGATGAGGGTGAAGTTGATGGTGTGGATCTTCTCGTAGTCAATTCGCTGTGCTGTCTTAACTACACCTAAAAGATAAGAAATATGTGTTAAAGACCTTTTTATTCCTGTGCGGAAATCCCCTCAGAAACCACCCGCCAGTGGGGTGATTATGTCGGACTCGAACCGACCTATAACGTAGACGGAGAACCAGATGTACCCTAGAAAGGAAATCTCTGGTACCCCGAAGGACTTCGGGCCATTTAGGGCGTGTAGATGATCCTCTTCTGTGTAGGAACCTCCTGTGAGGTGAAGACCTAGTCGAAAGTCAAATAAGGTAGGTCACGGAAGATTCCATGTAAAATTATAACCACTCATAACAACTGTCGTTATATATCCACTGGAAACTAAGTTAATCATAAGAATATATTTGTGTTGGGTCACCAGTTCGGTTTGGAGTGAATTTCATGAAAACACCTATTTCCCTTTTTTTTATTGGGACTAATCCCACCCACACGCCCACCGCTGTGTGACCCACGAACACACCGAGTTATGACACTCGGGAAGTTCCAGGAAGAAATTAAACTGTCTTGGAACCCACAACGAAATTAATCAGAAGAAAATTGGAGGAGTTGGAAATACTACCTATTTAGGTTTGTGTATTTTTTTATTGGGGCAAACGAGCAGACGGGTCACCTGAGGGCAAGTGACTACCGCACCGCCACCCATGGGCACTCTTTGAGATTCCTACCCCCAATTCAGGGAGAGGGGGGAGGGGGGGGGGGTTGGGCTCCCGTAAACTCACTCACTTGGTGAAAATCCACGAAAGAATTGCCAAATACCGCTTTACCGTGACTCCGGTCGAACTGGCCTATTCGTGCCGAATAATATAATTATTATAGTTAAGACTCCAACCTTATCTTATACCAGTATGTGAACAAAGGCAATTTTTAGAAATTTCTACTAAATAAAAAAAAATTGAAATCAATAAATACGATTTATTTTGGCAACTTCACACATACTACATATTGACACTTAAATTTTTACCAGGAAGAATAAACATAGCAAAAAATATGGGAGTTTATCATTTCTACTCACTGGCAACACCACAACTTCCGTCAGACCAAGCGGATAAATAAATACACTAAGACTCACCAGTGACATTATCAATAACGAAGTAAGGGCTCGGCGGATGTATCACGATGGCAGATATTGGCGTCTCCTTGTCTGTGGCGGTGTACGTGCCCAGGGTCGTGCCAATGGGCTGTTCTTCCACTATGCTCTCAAGGTACGAGGGTTGAGAGAATACTGGTGCGTGGCGGTTTACGTCCACTATTGTTATTATAAGTTCACCTGGTAAGAAAGAATTTATTAATTATATTTATGTATTGAATATATCCCGCTCACAAAATACGTATAGTGGTACAAAATTATCGTCAATGTTTATCGCAGTGTTATATGTTATATACCTCTCGCTAATCCACTAGAAAGTTTACTTAGCTAGTAACTTTTTATGAGGTTTTTCTAAGAAACGATAGGTCGTTTTAACTATGAACAACTTCGCTCAGCAAACTATATTCGATCTTATATGTATGACGATAAAGTTTACAGTCACGTGCCGTACTGGGTTATTGGTAAAATTTTCGTGACATTATTGCACGTTAAAAAAAAACTTTGGAAGTTTAATCTTGATACATATACATGACACTACATACATATATTTATATATATAGATATATAAGAAACTAGCTGACCCTGCAAACGTTGTTTTGCTATTTACATTATTTAATTATTTTTTTAATTTCTTAAAATCCGTTCTTAGCTGACCTCTACTCGGTGAAAAGAATATTCCTACCAAATTTCAAGTCTTTAGCTCTAATGGTTCCAGAGATATTGTGATGAGTGACTATATACTTACGTGGAAATCTCTTATATATATAGAAGATTGTACACTAAATCTCGTAGACTACTACTACAGATATTGATTTATTTAGTAGTACACAAAAACAATATTGTATTTTATATTATTATGTTACAAACTTGGAAGTTATATAAAAAAAGTATTTTTGTAACAGTTACACTATCGCATTAGTATATACCTATAATGATAATAGTAAGTGTGGATAACAATAAATGAATAAATAAATAAAGATAATAAATAAAAGAATAATAACCTTTTTGCTATATGTTCAACTTACACCTTCACGGAAATGTTTTCGTTTGCAATCAGACAAAGAAAGAAGGTAACATAGGGTCAGATTTGTTAGGGTTAGGGATGAGATCTTTGGTATGAAACAGGACTTCCAAGAGGAGGTCAAATTCGGTTCAGAAATGGCAAAACCATGACGTTCCACAGGTTTGAAGGCATCACTAAGTACCTTCGGCCTGCTGCAGCGCGGGCGCCTCTGTGTCGCGCACGCGCACGGGCAGCGTGAGCACGGCGGCGCGCGCGCGCTGCAGGCGCCGCGACACCAGCACCGCGCCGTCCGCCCGCACCGTGAACCACGAGTCGAACACACCCTCGTCCGATACCTACACGTCACGGCTCGGTAAGTATATACAACTATGTTTATAGTATACTTATAGACAGTTTTTTCTTTTAATTCTAAATATTTTTAGCTAAAACTAAATTTTCTTTATCCTTATCCTCTGAGTCTTTTCTCAAACTAGATTAGGGTCGCTTAAAAGTCTATTACGATACGGCTGAACTTCGATGTTAAGCGAGCGACAGCCGTCAGCCCTCCACAACCCAAGTACTAGGCGATATCAAAGTTCTGTAGAAAGACTCTTGGTAATTTTCTTTAGGGCTCCAATTACCCGTAACGAAGGATCGATATTCATATGATAATCGGGACAAACGGCTAAATGTGCTCTCTGAGACATTAGCTGGTCTCAATGTGTTCAGAATGGTCACCCATCCATAGAGTGACCTTACTAGAATTGCTTAACTTTCATTCATTCATCATTAACAGTTTTTAATAGTCCACTGCTGAACATAAGCCTCTCCTTAGAAAGGAGGTTTTGGCATACTATACCACGCTGGCCAGACGGGTTGGTACAGGATTTGTGTCAAGTTTTCCCTTCTCTCTGCAGTGCCGTTGTCCTACGTAGTTTGCTCCCTTAGTCGCCTCTTACGACACCCACGGGATGAATAGGGGTGGTGACACTCTGTATTCTTAATCCGTCACCACACGGAATCTTGCTCAATGCTTAACTTTGCAATGTGTTAATCTGATCGGTTACCACTTAGCCACGAGCTCCTTTACAATTATAAGTGAAAGTTGATTAAAAGAGTGTAACCTCGTTGCCGCTAGTGTCGACGGCGCGTATGCGATGCGGGGCCCGGTCGAAGTGCAGCGAGGCGGGGTCGGCCACGTCGGGGTCCACGGCAACGAGCTGGTGTACAAGCGTGCCCGGCGCCGCGTCGGCCGACACCGAGGCGCGCTGGCTGGGCGGCGACAGGCGCGGCGGCTTGTCGTTCACGTTCGCCACGTGCACCCACAGCTCGCTCGTGCCCGTCAGGCTCGGGGTACCTAAAACGTGCCTTACATTAGAATAGAACCTTTTGAACTTATCGCTGACAGCAAATACTAATAATAATATACGATATGTTTTTGAAGTGGTAACTTCTTATGGGAGGGTAAACCGCTTCGTTACGTGACGCGTTACGGCGCCACTTTGTCTGGCTTCCCCTTCTCTCACGCATACACGGCAGCGGTAGGCAGGCTCCTCCTCTCTCACTCTAACCACAGCGCTAGCCGTATTTCGACAGACGTCCGATAAATAAATAGTTCAACTTAGATTACTTTAAGTTATCACTTCTGTCGGATGTTTTTTTTTTATAACTTGGCGTTTCAACTGATAATGGTCACAACTGACTATGAACCAAAAATTATGTTTAATGAAAACTGCTCAAAAAGTAAATATTTTAAGGATCTACGAACGATCAAAAACTAACTTAAATATATTAATTCATATACATCACTAACTGACCTCTTGTATAATAAAGATCAATGATCAGTAAGAGACAAATGCAACAACAAATACATTCATTTCAAAAGATATCTGAATAGATTTTGTAAAAGAGAATACTCGTATAGAGTGAACAGAGAAATGAAGAATAGAGAATGCAAAGGCAAATTTATAGCACCTCATCAATTAAAATAGGGAACGACTTGATGATGATGAACTAGGAATTTAAACTCACCAAAATCAGTGGCAACAACCTGTATCCTGTAGGTATTTCTCTTGTCATAGTCAAGTTTAGAGGCGACGGTGACGACCCCAGTGATGTTGTCGATGGCGAAGGCGTCCAAGGCTCCCTTCTGGATGGAGTACTTCAGCTCGGAGTTGATCCCACTGTCCAGGTCTGTGGCGCGGACTGCGGCTATTTCAGTACCTACAAACACATGGTACATTTTTATTTTTGTACTTATATGGCATAGTAAAATTTTCGATTTACATCTAACTACGTTTTAAATAATTATTTACACAAAAATAATTTATATCAGCTTGTTAGGTTTCCCAAAATGTTTTACCATATTTGAATCGCGGCGTTAAGCCATTAGGCATTAGGATTTTAACTTTAATTCAAATGGTTGTCGATTCGATTTAAGCGCAAATATTTTAATGTAATTTTGATAGGGGTCATAGCTTACGTATAGTACGTAGGTATTTTATATTTTCTAATGGCAAGGCAGAGACCTGTCCTTAGCAAGGAAGTTTTAGCGTACTATAACACGCTGTTAACATAGGGTTTGTGTCAAGTTTTCCTTCTCTTTACAGTATTGTTGTTCCGCGTACTTTGCTCCCTTATTCGGCTCTTACGACACCCTCGGGATGAAAAGGGGTGGTGCCACTCCGTATACGTAATGCGTCACCACATAGATGATTTTTATAATTAAAATCCATCATTCTAGTGGTGTTCAGTTTCGTCTAGAAATTTCTTTGTGACCAAGATAACAATTTGTAAATTTATTGTTAAGAAGTAAATGACGTTTCAATGTACGACACCCTCGCCGTGATACTCACCAATAGGTGCATCTTCAGACACATCAGCATCATACTTGTCGCTGTCGAATATCGGAGCGTGGTTGTTCACATCTCGCACCGTGATCTCGACCCTGCAGGTCCCGTTGTGAATGCCATCTGTCGCCTGTACACAAAAGTTTCTAAAATCTATAGAAAATATATAACAGAGGAGATAATTTCGAAGTTAGAAGACAGAGATCTTTTTTTGTTGACGGGGTGAAAAATCCCTTCGGATCCTCGGGGAATCCTGCTCCTCGGGGATTCAGGAGCCAAGAGTTTTTTTTTTTTTTTTTTTTTTTAAAAAAAACGCAAAGAGTATGTGGTGATTCCACTAAAAACCACCCCGACGGCCGGCCTCAGGAGGACCTATGAGGACCCGGCCCATGTTATTTCAGGTCCTCCCCGAATGGACACCATGCCTAATCAAGCCCTATCCCAAGGGAAAAAGATGTAAGAAATAAAAATCTCTAAAGTACGCCAACATGAGTAAAGTTTCGAGAACGATTTGATTTAAGTATGTACAACAGTGCTAACAGTTAATTAACCTTACTACTACTTACTTTTAAATTAATTTTATATTATAGCAACTAGATAAAGGGTCACGTACAAAGTCAAAGCTAAATGCTGTCCGCGTGAATATATACTTATGCAGCTACATTTGTTTACCAACAAACGGATGGAAAAGTTTTAAAATAGTTTTAAGTTCAACCTAATTACAACTATGGTACACAGTAATAAAGTCACAAATCTTCAAAATATTATCTAATACTTACGATCATTCCTTGCAAAAAACGAGCAAAGCAATAAATTACTCCTATCACTTTCAAATGAAAAGACATAACTCAAATAATATTTAGTGTAAAATCAACCTTATGGTGCAACAAATAAAGTACTTTTTCTCGTTATTGCCTTGAGAGCTACATCGTTTTGTTTTGTTTTATTTTTTCTTCTTCTAGTTTTACTACAGGAGGTATAGAGTCGCGTTGAACACTAAAATAATTTATAATATGAACGTAAAATATTAGTTGCTTACTTTTTATGTTTCGGACATCTATGTATGTTTGTTAGTATCTTTACATTACTTATTATTTTATTAACGTTACGTTTTTGTGTAATATGTATGTGTATTTACTTTATCACATATAATGTGGTATTTGCAAAAGCTATTTAGACGGATACAGTATTAATCGTTATCAAAATAAATACGTTAGTTATCTTAAGCAATACATACACATTATAATAGCCCCTTACACCATACAATTTAAATAAATATGTTAGGAGATATCTTAAATTAAAAACTACGCGCAAGTGAATAAATTCGCGAATAAAACTCATCCGAACCAACAAGCTAATGCAAAAAAATGTAGGCATTTAATGCTTTAAGCGACCCGCCCTGACACCAAAAGCAGGACAGATATACTGAATAAAATATCTCTAAATTCCACATAAAATTAACCAACCAATTTTAAATTACTGTTAAGAATTTTTATTTGTAACATTAATTGATAATGACAATAAGCAGTCTTTAATTTAGGACAAGAACGACAATATTTTTTGTGAACTACCCTTATTCAAAGGGTGTTTGAATCCAAAGTCCTTAAGATTTCTAGTATTTATAATATCAAAAAGATCATTTAGTATCTTAATAAATTCTACTGTGCATTCTGATTCTCTAAATGCGGGAATATTTAATGTTTTATTACAAAAGTCTATAGCTTAAAAGTCTATAGGTCACTAGCAAATCTACAAACAAAAATAACATTACAAAATAACAACACTACTCCATGCATTCCTTGTTCAAGAACAGTCGATGTTTGATACAATAATTGGTGCGTTGTAGCAAACATTGGCCAAACAATTATAACATTCGCTAATTGAATTTGATTTACAGTTTAATTCTGTTTATACTTATTATATTATGAAAAAACACTTATTGATATTAACTTACCGAAAAAAAGATATTCCTCGCAAAAACTTGGTGTTACGGTGGTTATTTACACAGTTTTTGATCGCGCACTGCGGCATTTTGACGTCCTATTGTTGGCTATGATTGGACCGTACTAATTTGAAATAAGAGCACAAACACTTTTGTGCTCTTATTTTTCGGGCCGTTTTTGAAGCGCTTATCGGAAATCTAGTACTATTATTGATCGAAGATTATGATACAAAGTAATGTACGTATTGGGAGAAAAATGTCATAAGGCCACTAAACCAAAATTGCCTACAGACTTCTGGAAAATCTTTCAAAAGCTGCCGAAAACTTTAAAGCAGTATATAAAAGCACTGCAGAGAGAAGGAAAACTTGACACAAACCCCATACCAACCCGTCTGGTCAGTGTGGTGTAATAGGCCAAAACCTCCTTTCTAAGGAGAAGCTTATGTCCAGCAGTGGACTATCAAAAGCTGTTGATGTGTGAAGATGTGATAGTGTACATACATAAATTTCAAAATAAATGCATATATTCTCAATGAAATAGAATAATACTTACCAAAACAATTAAAAAAATCTTGTTGGAGTTTTCGGGAGACTCCACACCACCGACATCCGGCCTTACAGATATCTTGCCGGTGGTAGGGTCTATCCAAAACGGATGGTCCGCCGGGTCTATGATCGAATAGCGGATGTCTGACGTCACGTCCGCGTCACGGGCTTGTACCTGATGATACATAAACAATATTAGTTTTAATACATTTTTAAGTAAATATTGCATTTTTTTTTACTATGTTCTCCCCAAATTATTTATTTTGATATTTTAATGTTTTAAGGTATTTAGACAGAATATTTTGAAATTTACATCCATCCTAGTAAAATTATTCTATGTACTAAATACATATTACATATACCAAATTTACTCAATACAAAATCCAAAATGATGCTCACTCCTGTGGAAGGGAATTTCCACAAATGGTAAAATAATTTTATTCTGATGATATTAGGACTTTTAAAATTGTACACATTTGTTAAACTCGCTTGTTACGTAATACTCGCATAGAAGCTTTACACACATGGCTGTGTAACATTGTATAATATTTGTGTAACATCGTACCTGAAGTTCCGGCTCAAATTTGACAGCATCTTCATCAATAGACGCCTTGTAGACCTGCGTGAGGAACACCGGTGGGTTGTCGTTGGAGTCTGTTAGCGAGATCTGGAGAGATACGACTGTCGTCTGGCCAGATCCATCATCATCTGTTGCCTGTTAACAAAAGTCGGATAATTAATATATAACTTTATTATATCAGTAAAGACAATGGTAATGTTCTTTTATGGTGTAAGAGGGCAATTAGCGGGCGGATTACCTAATGGTAAGTAGCTACTGCCACACTTCGAGGTCCCCCAGAATTGGGGAGACTTCAGTAATCTTAATTAAACAAAATTCTTTTGAAGATAATTGTTCAAAATAATTATTTTGCAGTAACAAAAGAATTATCGCTTAACAGGGGTTTCCTGTAAGGCCATGGCATCACTCCGATCGAGTAGACATAGCAGGTTAGAAAGGGAGGACGTAGTGATCTATTGAGTGATAGAGGAGAATGAGATGAAAAACTAATTGCGCCAACTCCAAATAAATTTGGGAAAAAGGGTTTTTTTTTAAAGAATTTATTTCTAAAACAATAACTATTGTGTTGAAATTGTACACATTCTAAATAATGTCATGCAATTATTTTTCATAATCAAATTCAAATACCTAAACTAAAAAATTAATGTCATATCAAAAATCCAACATTTTTTTTTATATAATAAGAATATAAATAAACAATCATTACAAAACTTCATTAGTGTTAGTGAGATGACGATGAAATTGTATTTAATAATGACACATTAAAAAAAAAAAAAAAACATCCTGTTTATGATAAAGTGTCTATGACAATCCTTCAACAATGGTTATTTTGCATTGACATAAAATGTTATGTATTGGTCCTTCATACCTTATATTGTAAGAAATAGTCCTTTCTGGTCTCGTAGTCTAAGCAAGGCGGTTGTCCAGGCGTGGGACAGGGCGCCACAGTGATCACTCCGCTGCGATTGTCCACTTGGAATAGTTCAGCTCCGTTACCAGATAATGTATATACTATGCCTTCCGTGCCGAATCTGAAACAATAATAATAATATTCTACCACATACACACAACGCCATCTAGTCCCAAACTAAGCAAAGCTTGTACTATGGGTACTAGACAACTGATATAAATACATATATACTTTTTTTTTCTGTAAATACATACACATTATACATAGAAACACCCAGACCAAATCAAACATCAAATGTTCATGCACACAAATGTTTGACTTGAGCGGGAATCGAACCCGCGACCTTTGGAATAGCAGTCCGTTACACAAACCACTACGCCATCCGGTCGTCAATATTGTCGTCAATAGCCGACATATTGACATTTTTAATAATTAGAGATCGCTGGATCTGAGAATTAGACAATTTTATATGTCTTTTATATCAAATCCCGCTCAAGTCAATCATTTGTGTCCAAGAATATTTAAAGACAGGCATTAGGAATATATCATGTGTCGCGGGGGACTTTACAAACATACATGAAACGGACACAAAGAACACCCAGTCTCAAAACAACAATTTGTGGATCACACAAAGTTTCGTCCAATGTGGGGATCGAACCCACAACACTCGGCGTAGTATTAAGCGGCGTGGTGACCGCTTAAACCACTACACCATCCGTTCAGTCGAATATGTATGTATTTACAAAAAAAAGTGTAGGTATATGTATTTATATAAGTTGTTAAGTACCCATAGTACAAGGTCTGCTTAGTTTGGGACTAGTTGGCGTTGTGTGAATGTGGTACAATCTTATTGTTATTATATCATTGACCAGTATAATTTGAACTGTCATTGTTTAGACGTTTGCACCATGAAAGGGTAAAATATATGTTAGTTTCCTATAGTCCTGTACACAAGTTTTTATTTAATTTTTATCTTTATAGCACATTTTGTTTAGAACTTTTGCCACTGTGCAATCTCCTACATCTAAATGATGATGATGATGATATATGATGATGATGATGAAAAATCGCCTGGTTGTTGGAGTTCAATCTTAGGTCATTAATAATAATTGACATTGATATTTGACATTTAAAACACAACGCCATCTAGTTTCAAACTAAGCAGAGCTTGTACTATGAAAACTAGATTGGCTGATAGAATACTAATTTTTTCTTTTTGTAAATACAAGTATATTAAATGTATATAGAAAACATCCAAACTCCGAAATAAATATTTGCAGATCATACAAACATTTTTAATGTAAAACTATTAACTAATAGGTGCTATATTCCCTATAGGAGTAAATAGCATGAGTCAGTATGAGGTAAACTGCAAGGATGGCGTAGTGGTTTAAGCGGTCGCCACGCCGCTTCCTACTACGCTGAGTGTTGTGGGTTCGATCCCCACATGGGACGACACTTTGTGTTATCCACAAATTGTTGTTCTGAGTCTGGGTGTTCCTTGTGTCCGTTTCATGTATGTTTGTAAAGTCCCCCGAGACGCAGGATACATTCCTGATGCGGAAGCTGTCTTTAAAAAAAAAACAGTGTGAGTTCGTTACCGGGCCGTGTCCCGGTCGGTGGCCCGCAGCGCCGTGACGCGTGTCCCGGCGGGCGCGCCCTCGGCCACGTGCGCGGAGCTGGGCTCCTCCGCGAACTGCGGCGCGTTGTCATTCACGTCCGTCAGCGATATCGTCACGCTCGCCTTCGACGACAGGCGCGGCATAGTGTGAATCTCTTCTGCTATGACCTGCATTCATATTAGCTTGTTTTTAGCTGCTAATAACTTGAGAAGCGAAACCGTGTTCACAGCAATAGCCTTTAACAGTCCACTGCTGGACATAAGCCTCTCCTTAGAAAGGAGGTTTTGGCCTACTATACCACGCTGGCCAGACGGGTTGGTATGAAACCGTGTTCAGTAATAATTAAAAAATAATAATTGACAAATATTACAACACAAATTTGCCTTTATATGAATAGATATTTACATATCAGAATAGGGAGTGTCATCACCCCTATTCTAATGTGGGTGCCGTAAGAACCGACTAAGAGAGCAAACTACATAGCACTGGTAAGAGAAGAAAAACTTGACACAAACCCCATACCAAGCCATCTGGTCAGCGTGGTATAATAGGCCAAAACCTCCTTTCTAAGGAGGAGCCTATGTCCAGCAGTTGACTATTAAAGGCTGTTAATGATAGTGATGATACATATACAAATATACATTTAAACAAAATACAGCAGAATTGCAGTGATAAGCTTAAGTAATAGGATTAGAACTATATACAACTACTATTACTATTTTTTAATATACAATTGTCATAGCTAATTTTAAATAGTCTTACTTCGTTTAATAATAATGTCAAAAAGAGTAGTTTAATTTCAATATATGCTGACACCTCGCCTAGCGGAGAAGGTATTGTTGGTCTAGTGGTTAGTGGCCCTAACTGCTAAGCCGGTTCGAGGTCGTGGGTTCGATTCTCAACCTTGACAAATATTGTATGATGAACACGGTCATTTGTTCCGTGTCTGAGAGTTATTTATCTAAAATATATGTGTATTTACAAACATATAAGTATGTTTATCAGCAGTCTGGTTACCATAGTACAGGTTATGACTAGTTTGGGACCAGCCTGCCGTGTGTGAGATGTGTTAAGTTATTATTATTATTATTATCGCGCGCGTTCATTTGTCAAATCAAAAAGCTCACGGCTCCAATCTCCCTGTTACAAACTTCCGTCCTTATTGATTAAATCTCTACCACAGATTACTAGCTAAAGGAAAGATGTTACACTTAAAATAAGTAAAATCATTACGCATATCCGTTCCATAATAATATCGTATGTACATAAATTCTAAAATCTAATTAATAAAATCCTGAAACCCTAACTTACTTCTAGTATGAACTTTCTCTGATTAGGATCCTCGTAGTCCAGGGTGGAGTTGAGCCTGAGGGTCACGGAGGCACTGCCTGTGGCTGTTGAAGGTTCCACTATAAAAGCGTCCAGATCGTCCGACAGACGGAGGCTGAACACCGAATTTAGACCCTGTTAAAAGTAAGCGTGAAGTGCATTCCATTGCGTTAAAGCTTTTATCGTTCCAGTTGATGTCTTAAGCGTAATTCTTAAATCAGTTCAAAATATATTAAGAAACCAATTATAACTCTTATTGAATACAAATAACAATATTCTAATGACAACAAGCTAATTATTGAAAGAAACAAAATGCGTTAAAATGTTTAGATTCTCAAAATTTACAAACAGACAATGTCACCAGTGTCACTCTTACAATTAAGACGCATCTGGCGATACCTAAAACGCCAAAATCTAGTTTAGACTACAGAGCATGGCAATGAAATATACATAACTCTTGTTAAAACCTTAACTTGGGGAAAAATAATACCCAGAACTTATATTGCGACGATAGGATGGCGTAGTGGCTTGTGTATCGGACTGCTATTCCAAAGGTCGCGGGTTCCATTCCCGCTTAAGTCAAACATTTGTGTGCATGAACATGTAATGTTTGATTTAGTCTGGGTGTTTCTATGTATAATATGTATATATTTACAAAAAAAGCATATATGTATTTATATAAGTTGTCTAGTACCCATAGTACAAGTTCTGCTTAGTTTGGGACTAGATGGCGCTGTGTGAGTGAGCGTCTAACGACGTGTATGAGTGGTGTTCTGAGCGGTAGAGGGCAGTGTGTCGTTCACGATACTGCGAGCTGGGCGTAGAACTATCGTTAGACACGACCTTCCTTTAAATTTTAATGTTTTTTTATGTATGTATACAATGTACAATGGAAACTGACTACAAAATTGTCATTTTAACTAATAAAAATGCCAATCAAAGGACCATTAAGAAAAAAAGATCCATAAAAATGAGTACTTTTTCTTGTTTTTTTTAGGGTTCAGTTCCTGAAAGGTAAAAAAAGAAACCCTTATAAGATCACTCTCTTGTCCGTCTGTCTGTCCGTGTGTCGCCACCGATTTTCTCAGGAACGGGTAGACTTAGCAAGTTAAAATTTATACCTGATACAGAGGTCTATAGTCCCTATTAAGTGTATAAAATAGATACCTATTATTTTTTTTTTTTTTAAACCAAGTGAAAAATCCACGTTCTACTACTAGTCGTAGTAGATCAAGTAATTATTTTTTTAAATTGTTATTTATCTTCTTAGGCAAAAAACGACAATTGTATTCCTAGCTCAAGTTTTTTTATCATCTACGCCCTGTGTAGTACAGGGCGTAGATGATACACGTTAGCAACTCAACCATTACAGCACACACACACATTTAAAACTTAGCCACCAATTAAAATGATCCCAATTTTATTATGGCGGTATAATGGGTAGGTACGTTACTCTCGTCGCACGAGTTCGACTCGCACTTGACCGGTTTATGTTCTGGAACAGCATAGCTATAGTGACTAACAGGCACTGACGCCATAGGATTAAATAGTTCTAGTGTTGAGTCGTTAGTTCATGAACAATCGAGAGCCGTACGGAATCTTGAGGACAGCGCCAAGTAATGCACAACGAACACAATACTTTCCGCGCCATCTAGTGTCTAGTAACGGAAGATTATATCTTCTGTTAATTCTGTCGAGTATTCGAGAATATTCTAGTAATTTCGTAGCTCTATATAAGCGGAGTGTGTTGGCTGCACAGATGAGTATTGTTTTACGAGACAGCGGATTAACATCTAAGCGATCTCCTAGTGCGACTAAGAATTGCGACAAGAATAAAGACAATGTGCTAAAATAATATTTAGATGAATTATTGTTTGTAAAAGTGAATGTTTATAAATACAGTGCTAGTTTTGGTAATTTATACTTAACTAGTTTATACGTGACAATACTTACGAGATCAGTGTCAGTGACCACCATATCCAAGTTGGGGAGAGGTGTGCCTATAGGGAGGCTCTCGGGGATCTCGACGCTGTACTCGCGCCGGTTAAACCGAGGGGGCTCGTCGTTCACGTCTTTGATTGTGATGGTCACCGTGGCTAGGGTTGAAGTCAGCTCGGAGATTACAGGGTATCCGTTGACTAGTTCTGTAGCCTGTAAACATAGTTTTTATTGACTTATTTATTTCTCTGCAAAAAATGTCAGTAAAGAATAGGTAGTTCTATCATAGGTCAATTTATTGGCAGCCAAATTATATTTGGATTTCTTTTCGTAGTGCTATGTGCGTACTCATCATAGTGAATAGTATTTGTTATAGTCAAGCCCTGACATTTGGTATCCATATCGGCAGTTTACAACTTTATGCACTTTTGTACATCGTCGGACTTAATGCCCAAGGCATTCTCTTCCAGTCCCAACCTTTTGGTATTGTAGAAATCCGACGAAACATGTAATTCCCCCATTTTATAGCGATGGAAATCCTGTATTTACAATGATACTGAATATATTCAATTATAATATCATCAGAATTTAAGGAGTGTATCAAATGTCAGATCAATGTGTTAAAAATAAGGAGGTAATAGTCAATTACCAAATTATACCCAAAAATAACAAACAAGTCAAGACAAATAAGGACTGTACGCGCGTTTATTTTTTCGCAAAATTCTGTGGACATAAATCGCCACCGTAACGCGTTCTATTTGCATCAAATCAAGGTTTTTTTTTCGCTCGAATTTTTTACCGCCAGTGCGGGTAGTCCTATATAGATCCCATGTGTCACAGAATTTTGCAAAGAAAAAACGCGAAGTAAAATATCGCTGTGCGGACGTGGCCTAAAACCGTTCAGTATAATACATTTTAGATGTTTCTACATCAGTAGAAACAGCTTCATTTATTCATATATAATTCATTAATACATACATTCATTCATAAACATCAACTCCCCGTGTTGACCGATTAAGAATACGGAGTGTCAAAACCGAAAAACTTGACATAAACTCTATACCAACCTTTCTGGCCAGCATTGTATAGTAGGCTAAAATTTCATTTCTAAGGAGAGGCGAATGTCCAGCAGTGGACTATTAAAGGCTGTTGATGACGATTCCTAAACAGCAGAATGAGGCAGTGGCCCAAAAATTACCCTTTCTATATATCTCTACTTACGCGGACAGTCAGATTGAGTGGCGAGGACGGATCAGCGAGAGCTTCTCTGTCTAATGGTTTGGCAGTCCTAAGTTCACCAGTGACGCTGTCCAGGAGAAAAAAATCCAAAGGATCTGAAAATATAACGATTAGCTTATTAACACTGGTTATGGTTTATTTACGTCATGCAGTTCTAATATGTGATTCGTTGATTTAATAATAATAAATACTCTTTATTGTACACAAATGTTTCATTTACCATACAGAAATAAAAAAAAACATCATAAAATGCATATTGATTGGCCTTATCACAGGAAGCTCTGTCTTCCAGGCAACTTTTGAATGGACAGGAGTGGAAAGAATAATATGGGTGGTTTTGGTGTCTGCGAGTCGATCCAACATAACAATATCATTACTTTTTTTGGCTGATCACCTGCCAGATGCCATACCTCCTTGGAAATACGAGATTATGATATAACTTAATCTGAACGCCATATTTTCTAACACATCTAAACATATGCTGTATATGCATACTAACTATTAACGAGTTCTAGCACCACATCTCTCGGCTGTGCCCTGTCAGCATCCCTGGCCTTCACAGTCAGAGCTAAGGTCCCAACCGGTGCATCTTCAGCCAAAGCACCGCTCAAAGACCCGCTAAAAACTGGAGGAGAGTTCTGGACATCTATTACTTTGATCTCAATGTGGGTTGTAGAGTTGAGGCTACCGTCCTGTTGGTAAAAAAAAATGTACAGAGTGATTTGACTGCACGGATGGCGTAGTGGTTTAAGCGGTCGCCACGCCGCTTTCTACTGCGCCGAGTGTTGTGGGTTCAAACCCCACATGGAACGACACTTTGTGTGATCCACAAATTGTTGTTCTGAGTCTGGGTGTTCTTTGTGTCCGTTTCATATATGTTTGTAAAGTCCCCCGCGACACAGGAATGTATTCCTACTGCGGGAGTTGTATTTCAAAAAAAAAGATTACTGGTAATAAGTGTGATATCGTGATGATAAGTCGGTTGGAGCGCCGGCGCCGCGTCGTGATTGTTAATATCGCAGTTGCACATGACGAGAATTTCGTAAAAGTTGTAAAATAAAAACAAATAAAATATTTGGATTTGAATCACGAGATTAACTATATATGGAATTTGGATTCTCTGATCATTGTTCGGGTAATCGTATCTGCATACGGATTGATTGACCTCGAGCCAGGCTTACGTTACACGGCACAAGGGTCAAGGGTCTGATGGAAAAAGCAGTTTTCGTCGACACGACCCGTATGGTGAGAAAGTACCTGTCTTTGGAGTCCTAATTACCGATGCCTTAGTCCCTGTTCGGTGATCTCACGCTCTAGACCTACTAGGATAAAAAGCAGACATTCTAAGTACATAGTGAGAAGCCATACTCACATTCGCATAAAGTTGGTACTGGTAAAACTGTCTCTCATTATAGTTCAAAGGTTTCCTGAGCACCAAAGCTCCTAAGTACTGGTGAGCTGTTGAATTGATAGCCACTACCTCGAAGGTGTCACAGTCATCTGGCCACTGGAAAATAAATGAAATAATGAGTTTTCATTAAGTTGGTAGATATGACGTTTACCAGATAAAAAATTCACCTCCCTCCAAGCTTTGGAAACCCTACTCACAATAGGCACAAATTACCAGTTTTCATTATCATACAGATGAAAAATAGTAAGGATATCCCATCATCATAGGTATTGGTGAAGGATTTCTGGTGTAGACTAGAAATCCTGGACCAGGACAAAATTTGAGTCGAAACTAAGCTGTACCTTTCCCTCTCTAAAGTTACTCCATCAAATTTAATATAAGCTCTCTGAATTACCATACCTGTTCACTAGGCACGCAACCAACTTCAAGGCTGTCTCCAACGAAATCTTCGTCTTCTACTTCAATGCTCCTCAATATTGTGGTGCCAACTTGTTCGTCTTCTGGCACGCTTACCTCGTAGGGACTCTAGAATAACACTCAAAGTTAAGTTTTACTTTTTTGAAAAGTATGTAAAAGGCAGCTTTTATAAGCAGAAGCATCTTATGCCTTTTTTGCCTTTGTCTTCTAATTTTTTTGTGGTAAGCGACTGCCGCCGCCCATGCACATCTGCAACTCATGAGACACAAATGCATTGCCGCCCTTTGAGTCTCGTCTCCCCCCAGGATGAAGAGGGATGGCGAGAAATGTTGGGCCTCAGGTGATCCCATTTCTCGTTGAAAAACAACAAAAAAGCATTGCTCCCAAGGATTTATGTGCCCAAAAAAGCTTTTTGTTAAAATGTATGTCTTTAAAACACTGAAAATTTACATTACCGGACTGTGGAACGTAATCGAGAAGACTATTATCAGTAGTCCTAGAAATTTATTTAACAGTAGTAGTATTTTACTTAAAATTTAATGGCATTGCATAGCATAGCATGGCATGGCATGGCATAGCATGGCATGACATATCATGGCATAGCATGGCATGACATGGCATGGCTACTACCGACAGCACCATCTGGCTAAACTAGATTAAACCAATTCGTGATCTAGAAGTTTTTGCGGACCTTACTATATCTCTATATATATTAAGCTATTATGTCCTCTTGTTCTTCGCTGGTGGAACTTACATTTTTAAATATCGGCGGGTTGTCATTCTCATCCAGCACTATCACAGTCACCGGCTGCGTTTGTTCCAAGTTTTGTTCCTCATCTCTTATCGATACTAAGAACTTTATCGTGTCTTCCACCTGCAACGAATAACTTCATTAAATATACCTTCTTATAATTTTTTGGAAAGTCCTAAAAAGTTCGACAATAATCTTTCTACAGAACTTTGATATCGCCTAGTACTTGGGTTGTGGAGGTCTGATGGCAGTCAGTGCACTTAAAAAATGGAAGTTAAGCCGTATTGTAGCAGACTTAAAGCAGACACCAACCTAGTTTGGGAAAGGCTGGGAAAGCCTAGGCTCGGAGAAAGAAGAAGATCCCGACCACCTGTCGGGAAGTACCGAGTAGTAGTATTCGTGTATGGAATATCACATTTTTTCATTATATAGGAAGGTAACGAACAGACGGGTTACCTGATAAAAAGTGACTGCCGATGGCCTTGAATGCCTGCAACTCAGGAGTCATAATAGCGTTGCTGGTCTCTGAAATTGGAGTATGCTCTCTTCTTGAAGGTTTGAAAGTCGTTTTGGTCCGAAATAACCACTTTCCTTCTTACTTAGTATTCACTTTCTATATTATCCAAATCATCAGGCTTGCACAGTACGTGGAATTAAGTTGCTTACTTATTTTTTTGTTTTACAGGCGTTGGTATATGTGTGTAATCAGAGTTATTGGTTTAGAGAAAAAAAATACTACCAAAAAACATAGTCAGACCCGGTAACTCTACTACTCCTTAGTAATACGTCTGGTTATGGCTTACTATCAGATAGTTCGCATTTTTATTATTAATCACTTTAGTAATATAAGGAAATAATAAGTAGTATTTAATCTAACACACTGTACACCTTCGAAAATACACTTACATGAGTCTGTAATTGTTTACCAGAAGGCTGGTTACCATACTAAAGGCTCTGCCTAGTTTGGGATTGCCGTGTGTGAGATGTGTGAAATTATTATTATAAATGCAGATGATACTGTAAGAAGAGATCTGAACACTAACCTCTCTGTCTAAAGGTCGGTTTAATGTGACGTCGCCAGTTTCAGGATTCACAATGAACTTGTCCGTGCCAGCCAAACTGTATGTTATCTGAAAATTGAAAAGGAATTAGTACATACAAATTGCAACAAGAATTCTATTTTCCATTCCTCCAGCTAAACTAAACGCTGGCGTTGTTTAATTTGATCACGCTAGCAACGATTATTTAAATAAATCCTTATAGAAGTATATTTCCACAAAACGACATGAAAAAAGGCCATATAGAAAACAGGCGGGCGACTCATTTTAAAGCACTTTAAGCTTGGCTTGCACGAAACATTGAGCCATAAAGCGTTAACATTGCATTTTTTTACACGCTTTATATTAGCTTCACTTGTGTGTTTGTTTGTATGTTTGTAACCAACTCCTCTGGGCGTGATTTTGAAAAAAAAAATAGTTAAAAAAACTAAAAAACACGTTTTCTATAGAAACCACGTGATTTTGAAAAAAAAAATAGTTAAAAAAACTAAAAAACACGTTTTCTATAGAAACCAAACTAAAAAACAGAAAATAAATTTGAAAAAAAGCGTGGGGTGCTTTTTACTATTGACAACAGGCACCCAACGCTTTTTTTACACATAAGTTACCTATATGTAACGTGCGACTTAAAAGGGAAAATATAGGCTAAAGATCAATTTAGAAAATTATGGAAAAATTAAACCAACATTAAAATCCATTTGAATTGGCAAAAAGATCTTAATAAAAAAAAACCTGATTACATTGGATAAATAGATTGACAATCTGAGAAAGATAACTGGGATAGACAAGAGAAAGTAGAAGATCAAATGCTATATCACACGTTGGGAGAGACCCATCATCATCATTAACAGCCTTTAATACTCCACTGCTGGACATAGGCCTCTCCTTAGAAAGGAGGGTTTGGCCTAGTATACCACACCAGCCAGACGGGTTTGCATAGGGTTAGTGACAATTTCTCCTTATGTTTGCAGTGGTGTTGTCCTGCGTAGTTTGCTCCCTTATTCGGCTCTTACGATACCCACGGGATGAATAGGGGTGGTGACATTTCGTATTCTTAATCCGTCACCATACGGACATCAGTGGAATGAATCGATAGCTGGTCAATGTCCAAATCGATAACGTGCAACATAACTACCATACTCTGGTTTCTTGACATTTAACTACAAGTAATACTAACCGGCAAACCCTCAGGATCAACACCTTGCAGTCTGTAGACCACGGTGCCAACTGGTGTACTCTCTGATAGCGCCAGATTGTTCATGTCATGTGTAAATACTGGCAGCATATTCGTAGACGCTAGAAAAAGAAAAACATTTAAAAAGTGGTACAATGTTACTCTATGTTTAAGTTTTTTATGGCAAAGGGGTTAAAGGCATGGATTCATAGGTGCGTTGAACTCCGTTGAGTCCCCTCAGCCCAGAAATAGAGAGGGAAAGAAAGGGAATAGGAGGAGTTTTGGTCTGCGGTAACCCACTCACTAGTTAAAAAGCAACGAAATAACTGCTTAACAGCGGTTTTCTGTGAAGCCGGTATCAAGAAGTATGGCTCTCTAAGGCCCCGTCCGCACAGTGATATTGCACCGCGCATTTTTTTTCGCAAAATTCTGTGACTCATGGGATGTATATAGGAGTATTCGCACTGGCGGAAATAAATATCTGTGATTTAATACAAAATGAACCCGATACGATGGCGATTAATTTCCAAAGAAATTTGGGATTCACCGCCCAGTTTATTTGCGCTCTACGGACGGGCCCTAACGTTTGAATCATGTGTTACTACTTAGTTAATAAAATCTCTTTGCTTTTAAGCATTGACTCGCATTATTTTGACTTCATTCTCAATGTCAAATGAAACATTTTCAATTTTTTTAGTTTTAAAAAGTGATAGTTCTCTATTTAAAACCTTATTATTTGAAGTTCGCTCATTATGTTCCCGGACATGAAAAGAGTAAAATTGAATCTGGAATTTCGAATTTTCATTTAGACTGAGTCAGTCTCTTCCTTTGTCTCCTGGCTATTATACCAATATCTTGATCAGGTCATTATATTTATAACACAGATAGTAATCCATACTAATAACTAACGTGTAATTAATAAATATAAATAAATAATATTTGGGACGTCTGACACACAACGCCATCTAGCTACAAACTAAGCAGATCTTGTACTATGAAAACTAGATTGACTGATAGAATACTTATTTACTTTTATTTTGGAAATACATAGGTACATATTATACATAGAAAACACCCAAACTCCGAAACAAAGATTTGCAGATCATACAAACATTTGGTCCGACCCGGGAATCGGACCCGAGACCTCAGCACAGCAGTCGCATAGGCTACCACTGTACCACCGAGGTTTTAACAAATGTAAATTTATATGAACCACTATTCTAACCACTAAAGCATCACTAATTCCTACTGTAAATTTCAACTAATTAACATTCAAAAGAAACTATTCACAAAACCAATAAGACTATGAGCTAAAAACTTTCGCCACAAAAACCCACATTACACAATACTCTCACAGGCGAAGTGTTAAAATCTATAGTGATATGTTATGCTTGGTAGCTGTGTTAATAACTGGTTCCGGTTTAAATAGCACTGTTATTATTTCAGCAGTAACAATAAGACAGATATAGGAGTAGAGCTGAAACGACTGGCTCGTAGATCCAGTGGTCAATCCCGACTGTTACACCAGAAGTTGAGTTCGCCAACCGGAATAAATAATTGTGTGTCGAGCAAGTTCATTCTGTGTCTGGTTGCAATTTATCAACAGCACAGGCTCTGTTTAATTTGGAATTAGATCACCGTGTGTAAGATATGACATTTTGCAAAATTAGCAAAACCTAATAATTTTATATCAATAATAGTAAACGTACTGCAAAAGCCTCTTTAAGTAAATCTTATAACATTACATTTAAGATACCTGTACTGTTCTAACATAATATTACACTTCGGTTATCGAACTTTATCCCTTCTTTCAGCAAGAGATTTAATGTCTATGAGCCATGGTGACAGGGTACATTGTTCTCTGGCGGGATATTACAGAGAATAGAAGATAAAATTTGTGACGAAGTATGGCTCCTTACGACAAATATTTGAACTATAATATATCATTCACTTGTGTTTTTAACGCCCTATCCGTTTTCTTTAACATAATTTATCAACTTCCTTTGTCCCGTCTTGTATTGTGTGTGTGTGTGTCTTGTTTTGTTATGTTTTTACTTGAACCATGGAGCAAATACAAAGAGGAGGTGTTGTAATTAGATTTTCCTATGAAACAACGCGTAACAAATTGCGGGGTGAGGGGGTGAAAAGCTCCGCCCACTTCAATTTTTCCATCTACCAAACAATAGGACAACGACTCGCATCGTTCTATATCGATATTGCTATTTAGTTAAGCTATCTCACACTATGTAAGATTAAAGGGACGTACTCAGAATTGTCGTACCAGTAAGTTTTTTTTAAGGTTACTTATTTTGACATCTATTGCAAAAACCTTACTCATTTTATCAATATGCGATTTTGCGACACATGTGCACAGTACGGACGCTGAGCGTATTAATTTTCTGTCACGCTAACTGTGACACATCAGGACCTAGTTAAAATCACAGTGCACAGTTGCATAGGCCCTCTCCTCTTTATATTTGTATCTTAGGGACTACTGATTCGAAATTTAAAAAATCTCTTTTAGTGTTAGATAGCCCATTTATAGAATATGGCTATATATAACATCATCCTACTGCTGCTGCTAAAAACGTGGCAAGTTTGTTTCTTCGACTTCAAAAACAGAAAAGAGGAGGTTATCAATTCGGCTGTTTCTTTTTGTGTGTTTGTTACGCGATTTTTCCGTCAATTATAGACGGACTTTCAAAATTATTTTTGTAATTTAATTGGCACCGACTTCAAACAGACTAGAAGGTATCTATTGCTATTATAATGTAACAGTTATATTGAGGGTCGCACTTATTTTAGTTTTTTCACTTCGATTTGTAATTATTATTTTAACTTTTAGTTCTCTTTGTTAATATTGTTAGAAGTCGGTTCAACTTTTTGAAGTAAAACTTTACGCACGCTTGACTTGGGGAGTAAGCTTTATTATTAAGAGTTACGCTTCGTATATTACTGTAGGGGCAAGAGAGAGAGGTGCGAGCACACATTTTCTTCGTCTCATTCTCTCATAGCCAAGAAGTTTTACTTCAGTCGTGTGGTCTAAAGCACACTATAAAGACGATTTCTTAAATTAATTAGAAAGGAAAATTGTTTACATATAACCCATATTACTTAATTCTAGTTAAGAATTCATAGAGGCCTAGTTTGAGTAACGTAAACAGGCTTTAGAAAGCTATATTCAGTGTTATAGCAATACTTATTGTTTATGAACAGCCTATAACAGTCCACTGCTGGACATAGGCCTCTCCTTAGAAAAGAGGTTTTGGCCGAGTATACCACGCTGGCCAGTCGGGTTGGTATAGGATTTGTTTCAAGTTTTCCTTCTCTTTGCAGTGTTGTTGTCCTGCATAGTTTTCTCCCTGAGTCGGCTCTTACGACATGGATAAATAGGGGTGGTAACACTCTGTATTCTTAATCCGTCACCACACGGACATACTTATTGTTCAAAGTTACCTAATGCAATGCCGAGAGCCACCAACACGATGACGCACTTCCATCTTGTCTCCATCTTTAGTGATCTGTAACAATAGATACTTAATGTTAATATTATCATAATACGGGGTAGTATTACGAATATTGTTAGTATTTCAGTAGCAGTGTTATGACGGTGTTTTATAATATTATGTAAGTAAACGCAACGAGATAATATACTGTTGAAATTGGAGTGGAAAATAAAACAAAGGAGTTATTTGAGCTTTATCAATTTATATAATGACTTATTGGCTAAGGCAAAGAGAAGGTCAAATAACCACATTTACTCCTTGAATATGATCTGCAAATATTTGTTTCGGAGTTTCGGTGTTTTCTATGCATAATATGTAGTATTTTACAAAAATTAAAATATATAAGTTTAGTATTCTATCAGTGAATCTAGCTTTCATAGTACAAGCTCTGCTTAGTTTGAAACTAGATGGCGTTGTGGGTCGGATGTCTGAAAATATTATTATTATTATTTCCACATGAGTCAGTACTAGGACACTAGGTACGTACTGGGTAAGTAATGAATTACCCATCTGGCAACATTTAACCTATTACTAACATGTTGGCTGGCAATCGCCTTTTCCATTGTCCTTGCTCCAATTAAAACTCGTCTCATGACCTTGCACTCCGTACCTTTGGGTAGTAATTGGCTATCACTGGCGAGTACCGCTTTCAAAACCTGCATTAGAATTTGCGTGTTGAATATAAAGTGTAGGATAGTACTTTCACTATGTGATTTTGCAGTAGTTAATTTTATTTATTTAACTTAATGCACAAGTTGTACACGGGCGGACTTAATGCCCTAGGCATTCTCTGCCAGTCGACCTTCGGGTGATGTAGAAAAATGATGCGGTAGGTGCAAGAGAAAACAGAGAATTTGACTTTATTTTTATTAAATTTGTGTGCACCTCCTCAGCAGATCAGGTTTGTTCGTCATTAGAAGTATTTTGAAAACGAAAATTGAGGTTGTGAAATAGGACAAGAGCATTTCTGCATGTAAGTAGGGCTGCTTCAGCTCTTAAAGGAGGACGCCGCGGGTGGACGGGACGAGTTTTTACCTCCATCCGCTGTAGTGGCCAGCCGCGAGGAGGCGATGTCCGCGTGTGCCGGACGTCGCCTCCTCCTCCTACATAGAGAGCTTACCCAAAGGTGGTGCCCGCGCTGTTGAGAGCAGGCGCTGGGAGGGGTCCGGATGTCTTGACATCAGCTGTACCCGAACTTCTCCTATCTCAGGCGCGGAGTGGCACACCGTGTGTGGCAAAAGCTCTCAAAGGAGGATGAGATAGGATTGGTAACTCCACCTCCTACTTATCTCGTGGGTGTCGTAAGAGCCGGCCAAGGGAGCAAACTACGCAGAACAACAGCACTGCAGAGCGAAGGAAAACTTGACACAAACCAGTCTGGTCAGCGTGTTATAGTAGGCCAATACGTCCTTTCCAAGGAGAGGTCTATGTCCAGCAGTGGACTATTAAAGGCTGTTGATGATGAACCAAACAACCAGGCTCGTCTACGTTATATAATAATTCGTCAATATACATTGACGTACATTGTAAAGTGAAAAATTGTAAAATTAAAACAGGAGCTACGTAAATAGAAAAGTATTTACGAAGATACCTGCGCAGTAGCCAAGACTGAACAACTAATTAACAGACCACTGGGTTAATTGGAGGTCAGGCGCCATGACCGTTCCACCTCAACACAGATCAGCACCGTTTAATTGTTCTCATTAGGTTATTAATAAGTAGCATTGTGCTATTATTGAGTCTCGTTTAGCATTTATAATAAAAGAGATAGTTATAAATTTGGAAATGTATTCGAAACTAACGTTTTTTCATGTGTAACATGTTTTCTTTTTTTTATGGTATAAAGGGACAAACGATTAAACGGGTCAACTGTTGACAAACGGGTAAGGAACTACTGTCCCCCTGCAACTCAAAAGTCACAAGTGCGTTGCTGCCCTTGGAGTCCCTCCCGCTCGAGTCAGCGGGAGGGACTTGGGCTCCGGTAACCTCACTCAGTGAAAGGCAACGAAAGAATTGCTTAAAACCGGTTTTCTGTGAGGCCGTGGTATCACTCCTGTCGAGCCGGCCCATTCGTGCCGAAGCATGGCTCTCCCACGGTAACTTCTCTTCTGCTTCCCTGCAACCTTAAGGCCAATTCTCGTAATAAAAGTTCGGTCAGTTCCGATCAACTGTCATAAAAGGTATTTTCGTAGTAAATTTTACGTTTACTTGCTCTACTCTTTTTTCTACTCATTGAACTGTACAACAAGGAGGAAAAATAAAATACCGTATGTTCTACCTGTTGTTCTATCAATAGAGCAACTAGGAAACTAATTCCCGGTTGCAATTCCCCTTCCTCAGGAATATTTTCACCAGGGTTGCCAATATGTAAAGTTACAATATTGCACAACTGATTTCGGGATAGTATATTATATATTATATTATAGTAGATTATAGTAGGCCAAAACCTCCTTTCTAAGGAGAGGCCTATGTCCAGCAGTGGATTATTATAGGCTGTTGATGTGATGTGATGATGTGATTTCGGGAAAAAGGACGGAAGTTTGTAACAGGAAGCGTTTGCTGTTCTAGAGTTTGCTGTCACATGGTACCAAGTCATTTTACGAGTCTTTAATGTTGCTTATTATCAGGGTGAGATGTTAGATGGGACATATCCTATCCAACCACTAAGATTCTTTGTTTTTTTAGTAACTTTACACATCTCACACACGGCCGTCTGATCCCATACGGATGACTGAAACATATTTTATGTGAAATTTAACCATATAAAAAATGGATTATAGTAAAACTACCCTTGCATTGTCTTGGTGGAAAATAACTTTTTTCTTGGCCAAATGAGGTCGGTTTTTTTTCAAATCGTCATTGAATCGGTCCAATAAGTTGGCATACTATTCCCCATTGATTGTTCTTCCCTTTTGAAGGTAGTCGATGTGGATTATCCCGCGTGAATCCCAAAAGACAGTTGCCATAACTTTATTGGCTGACAAACCCACCTTGGCCTTCTTTGGCGCCGATTCACCCTTAGAAACCAAGTCAAAACAGTGGTTTTGACTGTTGTTTGGTCTCTGGTGTGTTGTGAGGGATCCATGTTTCGTCCACGGTTACAAAAACTCCTCCATATTGCGATTAAACAACGCCAAACCTTCCTGTGAAGTTGTTACACGATTGCGTTTGTGGTCGACTGTGAGCAATCGCGGCACCCATCTTGCGGAAAGCTTTCTCATGCCCAAGTCATCATTCAAAATTGAAACCACTGAGCCATGCGAGATCCCTACGGCTTCCACAATCTCTTGCACTGTCAATCTTCGGTCGGCCAACACCATATCGTGAATTTTTTCGATTGTTTCGGGTGAAGAGACCTCAACTGGGCGTCCAGGACGTTCGGCATCTTCAGTGCTTGTACGGCCACAACGAAATTCAGTAAACCACTTTTTTACCATTGAAATCGATGGTGCAGAGTCCCCATAGTATTTATCAAGCTTAGCCTTGGTCTCGGTAATGGTTTTTTTTCGCAAAAAATAATGCTTAATAAGCACACGAAATTCACTTTTTTCCATTTTTTCCTCAAATTACTGGGTAGTCTGATAAAGATAGCTGTCAAACACAAACTAACTGACGCAGCAAGTTCAAATTTTGACAGGAGTCACCTGACAGATGCCTGTTGACAGGAGTAGTGTTGCTTTTTCAGTAAAGAGGTCAGAAATTCAAAAAGTCACGGACTTATTGACCCGCCCTCGTATCACCGCTTTTTTTTTCAAATCGACGAGTTTGAACAATTGTAGAACAAGTTTATAAAGTAAAGATTTTGAATTTGAATAAATCAAGATACTTAACCAGGCGTGTCGTGATACTGGCACTAATTCACTAATTTCTATCAGGTTCTTTGTAAATTAATCGACTAATTGTTAATATTTTATCATGTCAAGGATTATTTAATTGATTTTAATTTCTAAATTGTTATAATTGTTGTACAAATTGACTTTATGCGTTCGAATTTTCGTCATAAAAATAGATTATTAAAGTGTATTTATACTCGTAAGCTTGAAAATTCCTAGTAGGTTTTATTCTGATATCATCATAAACATTTCCACCAATAGCAACTGCCTCGGTGGCGCAGGGTTAGTATACGCGACTGCTGTGCTGAGGTCTCAGGTTGGATTCCCGGGTCGGACCAAATGTTTTTATCAAATATTTGTTTCGGGATTTGGGTGTTTTCTATGTATAATATGTACGTATTTACAATGAAGTATTTAAATATTCTATCAGTCTATCTAGCTTTCATAGTACAAGCTTAGTTTGAAACTAGATGGCATTGTGTGTCAGATGTCTGAAATATAATTATTATTAACCGTATTACTACAAGAAAGTAATGAAATCTTGGTCAAACAATGCCTCCTAAATGCAGGCCGTGCCTAGTACCTAAGAGTAGTGCCTAAGAGACAGGGATCACTATCTTCCTTTGAAACCTATATAACTAATGTAATGAAACGAAATAAAATGATATTAATTTCTGTTAGTAATTTTTTTCAGATATTTTTAAAAGTCGGACTTTACACCTAGATGGAGCCGCCGTTTCCTAAGACTCACTCTGGGAAGAAACGCCGAAACAAACCACAGAGGTGTCCTTTTTTTAGTGCTTAAACAAAGTTAAAGAAAACTGAGCGAGTAAAGTGTAGGGTCTGGGTAGGCCTTTTGAAGTTTGAAATCATAGTTTTTAGCCTGTGCATACACACGGCATACGAACCCCAGCCATCGTGTAGCCTAACCGATATTAGTCAAGATCAACGACCCAAAGCGCGACACTACAGCCAGCATTACATTTGAATAGGCCGAGGAAACACTCAAAACCACCAGAAAGTTACTGAATATGAACTGACATTACAAGCCTACAGTATACTCATATTTACATACTTACAAAAAAAAACATAAAATACAATTCAAGCTCAATGAAAAAATAAATAAATTGAAAACAAACAAAATACGAAATACAATAAATATTCATCACCTT